GACTTGTCCTGGCGGCCGCTGAGGGAGCTGCGCGAGCTGCGCTGGCTCTGCTCCCCAGCACGCAGCTGAATGAGACCGGCGCCGGAATATGACGTCATATTCCGGCGCCATTATCATTCAGCAGCACGCGAGGGCGGGAGGGCACTAACACAGGAAGCACCTCTAGTGACCGTCTGAGTGACTGTCACTAGCAGTGTCACTTTGAAGCAATGTAAACTCTGCCTTTTGTCTGAAAAGTCAGTGTTTACGTTGAAAAGCCTGTAGGGACATGCTATAGACAACAGTACCACCACATTAAGCTGTGTGTGTGTGTATCAATGAGCTTGTGTGTGTCACTGAAATGTCAGTGAAATTGCCTGTGTCTGCATGTGCGTATGCTTACTGTATAATTAAACGTTTTACCCTGAAAGGACCAATATTTTATATTAGAAAAAGCAATATATATATATATATATATATATATATATATATATATATATATTGCTCAATCATCTGTCCTGGCAAGACATAGCCTTACATATTACACGCGACAATATATGGCGCAGTGACTTATGGGGCTGGCACAAATTTTTTTTCCAGGGCTGCTTTGTATCCCAAGTCCGGCCCTGATTTGGCCAGTGGAGTGTCTGTTTAATGCTGCAAAGTTGCCTAGTCAAATGTGACCTTGATGGAGGGTGTCTGTCCAATTCACATTCAGTGAAGATGAATCTGTTACCAAAATGTAAATACACAGATCTGAGAAAAATATTTGATTTTTTATACAATTTGCTATTAGAAGAATAAGACTTTTTTTTTTTTTTTTTTATTAAACTTGGCTATCACACAACCACAATTTGCAAATCTGGAGGAAATAACTATTTTAGAGTTAAAAACAAACAAACAGTTTTAATCAATTCAAAAAAAACTGCAAATGGCTATGCTACCACTTGGGGGCACTGTCCTTTCATTCATGATTAGCATTAGTGTTTACTTAAAATATATTGAATTCAAAGTTTAATAAAAAGGCATAATTTCTCAACGTTATCAAAGAATCAGTGTGGATATTGATTATTTTTTGACAACACTCTGCTACATTACCATTTAGATATGAATTTATAATGCATAAATTCACCACTCACTCTCACTGTAAAATTCTGTAGATAGAGAAAAACATAGACTTATATGGCAATCCATGTGACGATATCCTGAATATCTAAAAGCCGGAACTGATGGGAGGTCTTTATCATATGATCTAGAAAAACAGGAGTTTTAACACTTGCATGATTGGACAATACATTTCTATGCAAACATCCCTTCTCTGAAAAGGTTCATTAACCCCACAGGTGCCAAGGTGTGTACAGAAACACATTGCTGTATCTTATTAATATATTATGCATTTACAGGAACAAAACAGGGAATTCCACATTCTCTGGATCAAAATAACCAGCTTGGAAAAATTCTCCAATTCTTCTGTTTGTATATTTATTTTAAATTGCTTGTTTTGGCCTTAAAGGTCAGTTCCTGACCATTCATAATTTAGTGATTAATCCTGTAAGTGTCAATTTCTGAGAAGCATAATTGCTTGGCAATAAATGATTTGGTAAGCAAAGCAAAACTGCTTAAACTCATTTTAAAAATATGGACATTAAAATGTAAAATGATATATATAATGTTATTTATTTGTTGTTACATAGTTACATAGCTGAAAAGAGACTTGTGTCCATCAAGTTCAGCCTTCCTCACATATGTTTTTGCAGTTGATCCAAAAGAAGGCAAAAAACCTAATCTGAAGCGCTTCCAATTTTGCAACACATTAGGAAAAAAATTCCTTCTTGACCCCAAAATAGCAGTCAGATATCTCCTTGGATCAAGCAGCTATTACCCCACTAATTAGAAATGATATCCCTGTATCTTATGTTTTTGGAAGTATTTATCCAATTGCTGTTTAAACATCTGCATGGACTCTGACAAAACCACCTCTTCAGGCAGAGAATTTCATATCCTTATACTTCTTACTGTAAAAAAAACCTTTTCTTTGCCTTAGATGAAATCTCCTTTCTTCCAGCCTAAATATGTGACCTCGTGTCCTATGTATAGCCCTGTTTATGAATAGATTTCCAGATAAAGGTTTGTACTGGCCCTGAATATATTTGTATAATGTTATCATATCCCCTCTGCGGGGCCGTTTTTTCCAAACTAAACAGATTTAAATTTTTTAACCATTCTTCATAACTAAAATGCTGCATTCTTTTTAGCAACTTTGTAGCTTATCTTTGCACTTTTTCTAGTGCCATGATATCCTTCTTTAGAACAGGTGCCCAAAATTGCACAGCATATTCAAGGTGTGGTCTTACCTGAGAATGTATGCCCCTATTTATACAGGACAAAACATTACTGGCCTTAGCAACTGCAGATTGACATTGCATATTGCTGCCTAATTTGTTGTCTATAACAGTTCCCAAATCCTTCTCATGTGTGCTTATCCTTAATTCTCTACTATTTAGGGTGTTAGTTGCTTGTGCATTCTTGACCCCGAAGTGCATAACTTCATTAAATTTCATCTGCCATTTTAGTGCCTAGTCCCCCAATCTATCTAAATCCCTCTGCAGCAAAGACATATCCTGCTCACATTTTATTACTTTACAAAGTTTTGTGTCATCTGCAAACACCGAAACATGGCTTTCAATGCTATTTCAAGATCATTTAGAAATATGTTAAAGAGAAGCGGTCCCAAAACAGAACCCTGAGGGACACCACTTACCACTTTTGTCCAGCCTGAAAATTTACCATTAATGACAACTCTTTGTACTCTGTTTTTAAGCCAATGTTCTACCCAAGAATAAGAATATTCATGCAGACCAATTTATTTTAGTTTGAAGACTAACCTATTGTGAGGAAGCTTATCAAATGCCTTGGCAAAATCCAAATAGAACACATCCACTGCAACACCCTGATCTATATTTCTACTTACTTCTTCGTAGAATGCAATTAGGTGAGTTGTTTGAGTAGCACACAAGTATTTGCTTTGAATTCAACGTCAGCCTAATTTCAGGACTGGTTCTTCAGTCTCTCTTCCTCAGATGTCCTGCAGACATTGTCCCACCAAAAGGGAAATAGAACATGGGTACTAAATTGGGACTGTCACAACGGAATCAGGTCGCTTGGCAGGTTTGCTTGACGTCACTGTGTGCCTGGCACAATTAAACTTCGCATTTCTCTAGATGGATAGATTTTTGCTGCTGAAGCAATTAGTTTCAGGATGGACAAGGCCAAGCATGTTGACCGTTTTGAGTTGATAGGATAAGTTCTTGGTTGGCTAAGCATTATGGGTACTGCAGTTCACAAACAGTTGGATTGCCAAAATTAGCCTTTACTGCTCAGAAATGACCAAGCACTCTCCAGTTTCCCAAACTCACATCATGACATTAAATCTACTGTCTGCCTCCAAATATATGTATTTTCAACCCAGATCACCTTGAAAATATGCTCTTAAAGTATGACTGTACGAGCTGATAAACACGGCAGGTGTTCGAGTGCCCTCATACATGCTCATCATTCCGCAGTTCGGTATACCCAGTGATGAATGGTCCTTTCAAAGGAGCTCTTTGTTTATAGTTGTCCTAGTAATGTGCCTCGTGCAGAGAATATAGGCAGACTATAGATATGACTAATGCTTTGTTTTTTTTCCTTTTCTTTATCATTTGGGCATATGAATGCTGTCACTGCCGATTCTATTCAAGGTTATTAACTGAAGTGAGAAATCAAAGTAAATGTAAAGTGAATTTTAGATTTAAACACAAATCTGTCTTCCTAATGCTATAGTGTCCCTGTCCCTATTTGTTTTCAGGTCCCCCACGATCATTATAATAAAAAAGGAAGAAACAAGTTTACTCACCTTTTTCTAGCGCCGAGGGTCCCTCGGCATGGCCCCCTCCGCCAGTTTCTCATAGAGGAGCATTGAGGACTTACAGCACATGCACTGCAACCGCCACACGCGCATTCTAACTTCTCCAAAGGAAAGCACTGAAGCAGTGCTTTACTTTTGGGGCTTCCGCATCGCGTGACCGAGTTTTACTCATATTGACAGCCACTAGAGGTGTATTAACCTTGTAATGTAAACATTCTAAGAAAACTGCAACATTCTATTTACAGGGTTAAAATGATAGTAGCACTGCACCAAGTTGGCTTCATCTCAATGAAGATCTCAGTGACTATAGTGTTCCTTTCAGGCTAGAGTAGCTAAACTGATAGCATAACTGACTGAGAGAATTTTTCCAGTTCAGCTAATTTGGTCTTAAATGTTAAATTCACTTTGAATTCTCACTAGTGAATAACCAGGTATTGTGTTTCCCAAACACTGCATGAATTCGATTACCCCGTAACGAGTCTTTTCCACATTGTCAGACAAGCACTGAGTGGGATCCACTTACCTGTGACTCGGAATCTTAGCAAATAATTGTTTTGTGCAAAGCTCAGGTTTCGTGAAACCCAAGGCGGCTCTGATCCTGCGATGAGGCTGCTGAAACCTCGAGCCCTGAGATGTGTGGCCACTCAATGACCTCCGACCATGGTAATGAACAGGGCGGGCGTTCGCGTCCCTGATGACTGTAAGCTCTTCGATACCACTTTTCCACTTTGTTAGGGCTAATTCAATAAATTAGAAATTGCTTTAAATTGATCAGGAAATTGGAAAAAAATTATCAAACTGCATCCATCTTCAACAGTGACGTCACCTGTGCATTATTCGTAATGTACTGTTTATCTGCCACGGCACAGTATCAGGACCCCTAATCTCTGGCACCGGCAGCACTTGTCATATATCGTGTGTGTGTATATATATATATATAATGTATATTTATAATTTAGAATTGAATTTTCTTTTGCGCACAACTTCATATTTCCATATTCCATATCTCAATACTGGCTTGAGAACAGGCGCAATCCTCTTTATATAGTACACAAAATAATATATTTAATCAAAAATGTATGATTTTAAAAAAAAATGTCTTCTATTCTATTTCTGTATTGAATGTTTTCAGCATTGCATTGTATAAAACCTGTCCTGTTTAATCCCTTGGATGCCACATTCTGTTGCACTTATGTATATATTTCCTAAAAGGAAGAAACATATTATTTGAATATGGGACCTGTCTATTTTTATTTAATAGGTTACCTCACACTTCTTTAATAAGATAGGCCAGAAGGGAAGCTGAGCATGCTGGCTGACTCACACAGGAAGGAATAAGCAGTGTGGGTAACCCTAGAATGTGTCAGCTGGTAAATCCAGCATCTTCTGTATGGGTTGGCATGAGGACTAATAATCAGAAAGGAATGATTACACACTGGGTGCAGGGTGCCCACCATGCATGGCCCTCACACCTGTCCCAATTGGTAATCCTGCCTGTAGCTGCCCCAGTCCTGTTAACCCACTCCTCCCCATGCAGCACTAGTCCTGTGATCCTGACCACCTACAGGGATAGGCAACCTTCGGCACTCCAGATGTTGTGGACTACATCCCCTATAATGCTCTTACACCCATAATGCTGGCAAGGCATCATGGGAGGTGTAGTCCAAAACATCTGGAGTGCCGAGGGTTGCCTATGCCTGACCTAGGATATCATGTGCTGACTGTACAGGGAGAATGTGTGGGTGAGCTCAGTCTGCATCACCTGGGCTGTCACTCAGCAATTAGTTTGTGTCTGAATCACAGGCTGCCAGAACACACATAATCAAATGACAATTCATTAGGGGATTTCTGGCTAATGAAACCTTGAGTACATCGTATCAGCTGAGGCTAATGTATCACTAATTAAAGGCAGTAATGCCCCAAAGTGTTTGTCACGGCGAATCCTGGCACTGTGTATGTGTGTACTGTAGCTAAGCATCATGGGATATGTAGTCATTATTATCTGCAGTGTTAAGTTTAGCCATCACTGCTCTGACATTGAATAATTGTGCAATGTTTTCTGGCTTCCTGGGACATTGTCATTGTCTCAGATTTATTCCAGTTATATTGTATCCAAATATTGTCATATTGTTTCATGTCTCAATAAGGTGACGTATGATCAGAACATTTAGATTGCATTGGTGCTTTAAGCAATCCTCTCTATAGACATATAAAATGCAGAATGTGTTCAGTGCTGTATTGGTGGAGATGTAATACACCCTGTTTGTGAATCTGAGAGCAGAAGAGATGCTCTGAGCTGCCATCAGGATCAGGATTCAGTGCTGGAGCTGTGACTAAGCACAGACCCTGTGATGTCACTATCTGGACCGATATGGAAGTTGGGAGGATCCAGGCTCCACACTGGCTGTGCTGGGTGTGACGTCACGAAGAGTGGCTGCAAAAAGGATACATAAGGGGTAAAGCTGAGTGCATGAGGCTCAGAAGGGAACCTCTAGTGAAAGCAGGCAATACCTCTAGGACAAGTACAGAACACAACTGGAAGGGAATATCAATCTATCACAAGGATATTAAATCAGCTCAGCACCCCTGGAAGTAAGTCTTAATGTTTTTATTTCTTTATCAGCCTTGTCATTTGTATTAAACCATATGTACTTACATGAGTGCTGATCAGAACTTATCTTGGTGAATTCATTCAGGACAGTAATGTCATGCATTGCACTTATTGGGTTTCTGTGCAACTTGATACCTGGTTGCATTCACTAGCTGCTAATGTCAGAATATTTAGCAGTGGGGACTCCTGCTGTTATTGTAACTGGAGGACAGATGGATATATAAGGTTAGAATGATCTGTATCACCTAGTGATCTTTAATAAGTTACTTTTTCTACAGAGGGGGGTGGGGGGTAGTTGAGGGCAGTTTAATTCAATAAATGAATAAAAATGAAATGTTCATGATTGCCAATGTACAGGAGGTGACAGAATGGACCAGGGGAGCAATATAGCTGTGCGATGATTCATCCATGAGTAAGATGCTCATATGAGATTGGGGTGGGAGGATAATTTATAATGCAGGTTTTGGAATAAGATAGGATGTCTGTAGAGGTGGAATGACTGACATCTGCATAATCAGACAACAAAGTGTGCAGCTCATGTGGGAGGCTCAGAATAACTATTGTAAAGGTGTTTAAATTGGTATGTGAATGCACTTTATCTAATTTATAAAGACATATGCAATTCACAATGGTTCTAGGGCAAAGTTCTAAATAGGAAGCAATCACCATGGAAACCAGTAGAATACATCTCACCATTTAGAACTTTGCACTTGTCTTGCTAAACCTCCACTAAAGGAGGTCATTCACTAAACAGTTTTCAAATTGCAACATTCAGGTCAAAATAGTTAGTTGAATAAATCACCAACTTGACTGTAGATTCACAGATTGGCTGTTTTAGCATAAATGTCTAGAGTGAAATGAGTTGTTTAGTGAATAGATCCTAAAATATTCTGTCAGTATGAAACGGTCCTGGTTAAAGGACGTTTCCTTTTCTCAGTAGTGTTTGTGGTTATGGTAATAACAGATGACAGGAATCTGTTTGATAGATGCTCCTGGAAGTCTATGAATTAATGTCTGGGGTATGTCCTTTTTCCTCTCTCCTCTTAGAAATGACCCTGAACCGCAGTGATCGTTTTAAGAATCTGGAGAAGAGACGAGGAAGCATGCCCTTTTCTATGCACCAGCAGCTGCACCGAAGGAGCATGCCAGTGGACGACAAGGAGTTGCACGGCAATGCCCCTGCCAGGGATCTTGCCCAGTTGGTGCGATGTCCATCTTACAACCCTGGAGATGAACACCGGGAAGGCTGGCACTCTGACTCGTCAGACTCTGTCATCTCCTCCAGCAGTGACTCCGAAGACCATGTGTTCAAAGTCATCCTGCTGGGTGAACACGGGGTGGGGAAGTCCAGTCTGGCCAGGATTTTCGGGGGCGTGGAAGACTTACACGATGTAGAAGAAGCAGGTAAGCCTTAAAATACTGCCTTAAGTGAGTGCGTAAACACATGGCTAGCAGGTTACTTCTAAGCCATATCCATAAAAATATGAAAACACAATTGGCATCTAAAAGTGGCATTCTAGTCTGATGCCAAAGTCAGAGGTCTATATATGTAGATATTCATAATACACACTATAATATTTTATGTAAAATAAATGTAATTATTAGATAATTCAGTTAATACGAAAAGACCGAGCACAGGGAATCAAGAGAACAAGTTATACAGTATTGGCTCTCACTTATTCACATCATTGCCACTGGTTCAGGAAGTGGCTCGTTGTGTTGGAGATGTAGCCTTAGAGCATAAAGTTTGCCTTTTCTTTTGATAGAGATAGTGATGTCGTCAGCTGTCATCTACATGCACAATGTTTACTAGAGACTCTCCCAATGAAGGCTAATTTTAGCAGCACTTACAGTGTAGGCCGATGATAATCATGTTCTGCATGACAGCTAATCAGTATGACACTGTTCTGAACATAATCCTAATGTATGATGATAATGAGGCTCCGGCTTCCAATTCCCATCAAGAAAAATAATGTTTTTCCTATATCTTTTTTTTTCTGTAGGAAATACATATGACCGATCTGTCGTAGTGGATGGTGAAGAAGCTTGTCTATTGGTCTTTGATATATGGGAACAGGTATGTTATAGTTCATATATTAAAATACATATAATCTTTAATGCCAGGATTACACAAATGACATTTAAATAACAGCCTGTATTGGTTTGGTTTCAGGATAATACCCACTGGCTCCATAACCAGTGCATGAAAATGGGAGACGCCTATGTCATTGTCTATTCAGTGACCGACAAAGCCAGTTTTGAGAAGGCATCGGAGCTCAGAATCCAACTGAGACGGGCAAGGCAAAGCGAGGACATCCCAATCATTCTAGTAGGAAACAAAAGCGACTTGGTCCGGTCAAGAGAAGTCTCGGTGGAAGGTAAAGATTAAACAAAACCTCAGTTCTTCCTGAAAATTATCTAAACCAGGTTAATTGAGTCCTGACAGTGATCCACTCCATACACTATTACAGGTAGTTCTTGGATTAGCACAAAAAGCAGCTTTCAGAGTCAGACAGGACCATCATTATTTAATGTCAAATCCATCAATGCAAAGCCGTTTGCAAACAATGAGAGCCCCCCTCTTTGCTAACAATGAGAGCCCCCCTCATTGCCAATAATAAGAGCCCCCTTCCCCTTTGCTAATAATGAGAGGCCCTCCTCCATTGCTAACAATGAGAGCCCCCCATTGCTATCAAAGAGAGCTCTTGCCATGCAGGAGAGCCTCCATTGGTGCTAATAGTGAGAGCCATTCTCAACAAATATGTAATAAATTTAGAATTTAGTGGTAAGACCCAAAGATTTCAATTTGGTTTTAATTAATGAATATATTGTCCAACACGATAATTGACTAGAGTGTGAATTCAATGTGAATTTCAGATTTAGGTGCACTGTGCCCCTCATGGGACTTTGTATAATCTGCAAAGACCACCGAAAGTGATATCGCCACTACTTGCACCTAGTTTATCTCGGATATCTGAGCTGGAAAAGTTCTCAAAGTCAGCAATCCTTGCGTCATGGCTAATCTGGCTTTAAATTCACTTTGAATTCCCACTTTAGTAAATAAATTTGTAAGTGTTGTCATATTTGAATTGTGTTCAGATTTGTAATGTCTTCGTTTTAATCTTTCAGAGGGACGTGCATGTGCTGTTGTGTTCGACTGCAAATTCATAGAGACCTCTGCGGCCCTTCATCACAATGTGAAGGACCTCTTTGAAGGAATTGTGCGTCAAATCAGACTGCGCAAAGACAGCAAAGAGGACAACGCTAGAAGAATGGCCAGCAGCAAGAGGCGAGAAAGCATCAGCAAAAAGGCCAAGAGATTCCTTGGGAAGATTGTAGCGAAAAATAACAAGAAAATGGCATTCAAGCAGAAGTCAAAATCATGCCATGACTTATCCGTGCTTTGAGTAGCTTTTGAATGGCAATATATTGCCACCCCGAACTGAACATTTACTTGACGTGAAATGGAGATACATTTGGTGATAGATTAACTAAACAAATCTATAACTCATACTTTCATTTCTAATCTATGCCTTAATAAGCAAAACAGTGACTTTACGTTAAGATGTTGATTTTGTGAAAGACAATTTCGTGTTCAAGGTGTGGAATGTTGAACGGATTTACAATGACTGTGATCTTGGCATTCTTCTGGATCCAACAGAAAAGAAGGGTTTGACTGAAAAACACCACCATAGACTTTTGTGTTAAAACTTGAAATTTTTGTACGCAGGCTCGTACATGCATAAATATTTTTTTCTTACCGTCCATGTATCTAAAATCACATAGGCACAGAGACGTCTGATTTGAAATGTAGGCTACTAACAGAATTGTTCTTGCACTTCCATCAACTGTTCTCAAATGGATTTAATATTTGTTTACATGCAGATTTTATAATAAACTATATACTGTTATAATAACAAAAATATATTTTGTTGTGGCTGCTACACTACAGCTAGCTGTTCATTCTTTAACACTACCTATAGTGGTGGTTTTAGTCTGTAAGCATGTTGCAAAATTGGATTAAAGAGTACCAGAGCAGCAGAAGCTGATGTAATTGGTTAATTGGCTGAGAGAAACACAACCAATAGGAAATGTAATATTGGTTCTTCTTCACTCTTATTGGCTACCAACATTCTCATGTCTTAGAATGTTGAGATGCCGATATAATTTCTAGCAATTTATCTCCTGGCCATGACATACATGATTGGTGGGTTATATCCTAAGTCACTACTGGAGGCTCTTCACCCTGGTATCGATCTGCAGGAGATTTAGGGTTTTGCAAATAGTTTTCTTTATATTTTATTTATCCATTGCATTTTGTTTAGTCCTATTTTCAGTGTTTTATTTGAGTCCTAATTTTATTTTATTATTCTTTTCGATTTGTTTTCTTTGTTTTGGAAAGAGATACATTGCCTGCTTACCATGCTGACTCAGGATTTTATAGGCCAATCATTTTATACTGTGTATCCTATATATATATATATCATTTTTATTTATTTAGTTTTTTGAAGGGGGGGAAGGGGCAGTTCATTTCTTCTTGGGAAGATTGTTAGAAGAGGCCAAGGGAACTGGGTTTCGAGCCTGGTGGGGAGATTGGCCCTATCTCGCCCTGAGTTAGGGTTCATTAATTGTGTGCAGCGTGAGGCAGTGATGGCAATCATTGTCACACAGATGTTTTCTGAAATACATTTCCCATGATGTAGAGCCAGCCTTAAGTTGTGCAGAGAGAGATTTATTTTTCACTGTGTAAGTACAGTGAATTAAGGCCTCGTTTTAATATTTTTCATTACATTTTTAAAAAATATATATATCATAAGTATGCGTTTATGTATGTGTGTAAATATATATATATATATATATATATAAAATTATTATTTTTTTCATAATATTAAATCGTATTTATTAAAAATATTAAATTGGGGCCTGTATTAGTGGTGAATATGGCGTGTGCATCTTTTGAACATCCAGACTATTTAGAGCAGTTATAGCTATGTCTTAACACGTTAGTTATTGTGGACTTTAGCTTCCATTACACTCAGCCAACCACTTGGCTGGCCGAGACTCATTAGCGTACACACCTGCTCCCATGCTTGATTAAGAAACAAATGTACAGGTCTCAAGAAATGCTAATTAGATCATTCCTTAGACTTGGCTGGTATTATCTATTCTACAGCTGAATTACCATTCTGAAGGAGTGACCGTGACTTTCCTGAATTAAAGGGACCTAACAGCTAAATAGCATTTAATTTTCCTTAATAATTAATATTAATCTGTCTGTGGGTTACACATAGTTGGAAACAAACCTTAATTTTCAGCGTTGATTTCAGGAGTAAGAAACACACGTTTTTCTGTTTTTTCTTTTAATCCCATTAATAATTGATGATCTAAATGTCCTTCGTAATGCTACAGCAATTCTGAGCGCTTACCAGACAAATGGCAGCTTTCGTCAGCATTCTTGTTGGATAAATATAGCCTTGACCGTTACAGGTAATTTATCAGATCCATATTATATATATCATCCTTTTCTGGATCACGTCCAGCGTGGTCGCTTACCGGCACTCCCAAACTATTTCTGATTTAGATTTACCAAGCCTTAAAAATGAAGCTCACTGGCATATCATAATCTCAGGTTTGCTACAAAAATGTATAGAAAATAAAATTAACATTGTTGCCATCTTCTCTGCAGTGTACAATAATAACAAGCCACACATTTCTCATCTGCTGAATGATCAGTTCATGTGAACAAGTCGGAGAATCCTGTGTTTATTTTCACCATAGTTATACAATTGCTTATGATCCTGCTGCGTGAATGTATATGTTTGTATGTATCACGTTCTATAGAATCTAAAGTGAAGCTGCGTGATGGTGTTGAGATTATTTTATGGGAGAGGTGATTAGGATTAGCATTAATAAGAAGTGAGGATTAATATAATAGTACAATCCCATTTATCCTACTGACCTATCCCATGTACATCGTGAAATTATGAAGCACCAGAGCTGCTCCTTTGAAATAGATTATCCAACACTGGATATACGCAGTAATCAACATTCATTCTAGCCGCACAGTGAAATGTATAGAACTCCCAGATCGATGCCTGTATAGCGCACATCATTCAGTGTCACTGTCTGGGTACTTCCATAATTTGCAAAGACCAATGAAGGTGACATTGCTGCAGGGGTCCAGTGGCCAGGGGTAGCAGTCAAAAGTGAGTTTAACTTACCTGATCCTGTCCCTCGCGGGCGCTGCCATCATCTTCTGGCTGGTCCTCTTTTGCATGCGCGAGAGTATGCCATTGAGGTCTATGAAGGATCCTGCAAGATCCTTCATAGAAAGAGCCATTCCCCTGCAGCCGTCACTGGTGACAGCCGGGAGATTGACAGTTCTTGACGGTGTAGGCATAGGAAACACACTGAGACAAACTTAAATACTTTGTCTCAGTATATCTTTTGACTGTGTTGGAAGTTTCAATATGAGTATTTCATGAAGATTATATATTTATGAAATGCTAATTTTGCCGGGGGGATGACACTGCCACTTTAATCCCTAGGTTGGGGCCCTCAACTGCATTCCCATGCCATAAAGTGTTTACCGTAGCAGCATTGCATTCTAAAAGGTAATGAAGAATCCTTTAATGCCACTGCAGTCAGGTCGGTGACATTGTGCAGAGTGTAATGAAGGGGCTTTGCAGGAATGATGTTAGTAAAGAGTAACTTATCTAGCTGACGCTATGTGTATAATTTGGGTACCTGACACAGCGTTACTTCTCTGAAAATTACATCTAAAAAAAAAATCACCTATAAATCATACTAACCTTTTCTCTCGAGAAGTTCTGTACTCTTTTAATTGTATGTTCAAAATCCAGCCTTTGACATAAAAATCTAGTTCAATCCTGGCACAGCCAGGCACACATTGCATTAGGGGAGGGGAAACAAACAAAATTCCTAATTCTTCTCCTCTGTACCCTCCTAGGTGTAAAAGGGGAGAACTAGACGGTAAGCTGGTTTGAGCAGAGTCCTAATCAATCTATTGTTCCTATAACATTTTGTAGTTGTCCCATTTAAAAGTGCTGCGGAATAAGCTGGCGCTATGTAAATACCAATAATAATAATTATATTAACTTAGGACAATGCCTGACAGGGAGCCACTACGGCGGCACTCAGGATCCAGATTAGAGCTAAAGACAGCAGTGTAAATGTCTGCATTTAATGTTATTTTTTTAGACCACATAAATACATATTTGTTAAATATACAGGATAAGAAATCATAATATTAAAAATCGTTGGACATGACGGCTCCTCGTTATTGCAACAAAATGTTAATCCGTGTGAATGGTCTACTTGTGGACTACCCTGTTCTTTTGCAGACTACTAATTTACATGCCGGGCTTCTGAGAGGTCACTTGAGAACCGGCTACAAATCACAGTTTGTAAGTGAAGAGATGACACATTGTGTACAAAATGAATGCTGCTTCTGCTCTCCAAGGGGTATCAAGGGTCCTCACACCAGCTCATTTCAAATGCGAACAGGCATGTGGGTAAAGCAAGCACTTTAACTCTTTCACTGCCCAATGGTTCTAGACTTTGTTGATAAATAATGAGCTGAAAGTGGACCCTTATTACTTAATAGTTAACATGGAATGAAAATGCAGATGACGGTGGTGGTAATAATTCAGTGTTAGTCTGGGCGGATCTCTCAGGCTGCATTTGGCAGGAGAACCTGTTTTGGCAATCAGTGGGAATCCCACCGATTCTCTTGGATTGTTTATAGAAATCAGTTTAGACATCCATAACCCCACTCAGAGTGTGCCATGGACTTGTGGGCTTTCATGGCGAAGGCTGCTCTTCTCTTTGTATTTTGATGGAGCTTTTAACTATTTATTTTCTCTGCAAGCTCTGTAGAAAGCAAGGTCTGAAGTGCTTGCCTCTCATTTAATCAGTTCTAACATATTATCTACCTGCAGTTTCCATATAGCCAGGCTCAGATTTGCCACTAGGCAGCTGCCTACAGCCACGAGTCTCTTATATTATACATATATTACATAGTAAAATCACTTCCTAGTTAAAGCGGAAATTTTGTTGTTTTTGTCAGTGGGAGAAAGGGCTAGATGTCTTTTGAGATTCTTAGCCAATATCCGATATCTCCTTCAATCCATTGATAAACCGTCCAAACACTAATGTAATCATTTTTGAAACCGTAGTCAGTGATATATTTGGGATTTTTGATCTCTAGACACAGCTGAATTTATAAGCCACTCACCTAACCTGCCCTTAAAGGGACTCTCCAGTTTCCTGGCACTGCAGGTCCCCTCTCCCTCCCACCTCCCATCCGCCGCTGCTTCTCCCGGCCGGGGAGACTGATCCCGCCTGCCGGCGGGGAAGACCTAATGCGCATGCATTATCAACGATGTTGAGGACAGACAATATTGACATTGATTATTTTTGCTTTTATTATTTGCATTTATATAGTGTTAATTCTGTGTTATTAATGGGAACAAAATGGTCAATCTGTTCGAAAATAGTTGCACGTTAAACCAGGACACAGTTTTGTGGCTAAGTTACTTTGGCACCGTCACAAAAGTGGTGGCTCCCCTAAGGCCCAAGCCCTCTAGGGCTGTCCCTTTTGCTCAAATACTTATTTGTTTTATTTTGTATTCCATCTTAAATAATGGCAGCATAATCATATAATCAGGGAGGTGATAAAGACTTTCTTCTACTAACGTAGTTCACAACTTGTTTTCCAAGAAGGTCTGAAGCCATTCCATAGGAAAGCTTTGGTCCTACCTATTAGTAGCTCCGTCATATTTATATCTTATCAGCAGTTTCTGTTATCTTATCCATCGACTGTATATACATAATTTCATATTCTTTGATTCTCTTATTTCACTGAGTTTCTTAGCAGGAATAACAATTAAATTAAGTGTGCCCATGACAACGAATATAATTTTTATTCATGTTTTTTTCCAACCAGTTTATAAACTATGAACTGAGGCCTGGAGCACTGTGATGGCGTTAGTGATTGGTTCATTTTTAATTCTCAAGTAAATTATTAACATTCTTCCTTACCTATTTTACTAGATCGGTCATTTGTTTTCTGCCCTTCAAGAGTTGGAAAAGGTAGGACACTTTTGCTTCCAAAAAGTTTTGCATTATTAAATCTCTGCTATCTATAAAGTAAGTTTTAAATTTTTTTTTATTTATATTTAGTTTTTCTTTAAAAAAAAATAATCTAAATTGCGATGCGTGGTCTGTTAAAGTAATGGGTCACAAGATGATGATTTGCTAGCTGGTATGCTAATGTTTAAGCAGTACTGGTTGTTTAGAATCACCTTCAGCTTAGTCGTTTGTTGACTAAACGGTGAGTTTTAGTGTGTTGAAAATTGATGAAAAAATGTACCCGTCCCCAATAATTAAAAACTTATTTAATTTGATCTGCTGTCAATATACCACAGTATGCTGTTAAATAAGCAGAACTGCGGTGTAAGAGGATTACATTATTATGAGAGTATGTAGTATTATTTAAACGATTATTTACTAACGAGCGAATGGGGGAGACTGAAAATCAAATAGTGAAATTCAGGCTGAAATTGTCAAGTTAAAGCCTAAATTTCGCTTTTACATTTACTACAGTTTAGTGTCCTACATGGTAAAAGAATTTGCTAAAATAAAAAAATTTGTAAAAAAACAAACAAACAGTAAAGGAATGTTTGAGGCTATCGCCAAGCTACTGTAAGTAGAATGTATAGGATGACCATTTGGCCCAAGTTGTTTTGTCTCTTGTATGTGTTGGGTTACTAAAGGATTAATTTTAGGGTGTTTGAGAAGCTATTCAAAATGACTGTTAACATAATCACTATCACTTGGTATGAGAGGTGTTGAGGGTTTATAAGTGGGTTGATGTAAGATCAGTTTTCTAAATTGTTATGTCCATGTTGCAGAAGATTCTTTTTTTCCTAAGTTAGGGCTGTAAACAGTGGAAGTTTCGTGATCTCCGAGTATCGTCGGTCAAGGGGGGCCGAGGCGAGGCAGGGGAAATCCCTGCAAAAAAGTTATTTAGTATATTGCCAATACGGCACTTTAAGTGCTCACTTTTAGTTTTGTTTTGTTTTTGTTTTTTTGTGCTTACAAAGAAAAGCAATGAAAAGTAAAAGTGCAAAATTGTTTATTTTTTGAGGCAGTAGGCTGACAGTTTAAAAGAGACTCAGCAGAGCAGCCAAAGAGTTAAATCCCCAATAAACAGAATTCTTCCACTCCCAGGGTACATAGCAAAGCCCAGCGTCACCAAGATCAGGGACTGAGTTCACAAACACTTAAGAGCCAAAGGGGGTTCATAAAAAAACACAAGCCAAAGACACAGAGACAGAAAAAGCACCAGATTTTTTTTAGGTGCAGAGTTCTGGAAACATTTTTAATGATATTACACACAACCCAATCACACTCAGCCAACTCCACACATACATATCACATCCAGCCAGCCACTACAATCACACTCATGTGCATTGCTTATAGTGGTGCCACGAGGGTGGCCTTTCTTTAGTTTTTTTTCACTGGGGTCCCAGAAGTTCCTAGTTACTGTTAATATTAATTTGTGGGTGTTTACTCACTTCAGAATCACGCTGCACCTGGAAAATCTTGTGATCTCAGTTAGTTACACGTTCCCAATGAATGATCTTACAGTGACTGTGTTTGGGTTCAATATAAATACAGAGAGCTGTGCAGGCCGTGCCCTGTATTACAATGGATAAATTAAAATCTCGCTCTGTCTGTGACTCAGGTCTGATTAAACAGGTAGAAAGACAGTGAAATATGACATTTCTGTAAATAGAAATCAGTGGCTCATTGCATTGTGACCCAGCTGCTTATCTGAGAGATATTTTTGGTTTAGTTTAGAATGTTAAGATTAGTACTATAATGATATAAACCTATAAGGAAACCTCAATAAATTAATGTTATCAGTATATAAAAAAAATGCACTCTAAGCACCAAAACCACTGTATATCACTGCAGTGGTTATGGTTATATGTGTTTTTGCATGCTGTCCTTCTGCCTTTTTCTGTGGAAATGCTTTTAAGCAGTGTGACAAAAACCCCAGCCCAACCCCCCGCAGCCCAGCTGGGCAATGCAGAAGATTCACTTCCTCATTATCTGTCCAAAATTGTACAACTTTGACAGCGATGCTGGGCTTTGAGTTCTAATAGCAGGTTAACCCAGCATTCCGAATCAGTCATAGCCAACCAAATGCAGGCGTAAATGAAATGTGAACAATACATTTTCAGAGCAAGGCAGCTACAAAGGCCATCTAAAAGAAAATACATTGTCACAGAGGCAGGATGTGTGTTATTGTATCGGGCTGATATACCTAGTGTTTGGATTACATTTTAGATCTTTTAGTTAGAGTTTACAAGTACACACCCAGAATTTTATTTGTGAAATGTCACTGTCTCTTTAATGGTGTTGCTGCTGTGTCCAGATGTGCATCTCTAGAGCTAAAGGAAAGGCGATAGGTCTCATGTGATTTTGTGCAGTGAACCGGTAAAATCCAGCACTATCCTGAAATCCTTCTGCAGTAATAGGAAACATTACACCGGTCGTGGTCATTTCCATTAAGGTGATATGAATGTTAAATTGAGGACACTGCGATTGCTTACACACGCTTTACTGCAGGAAAATCCCCGAACACATTACAAGGGGACGCCAGACGCCTTTATTGTAAGATTTTAACACTTGGGTGTTTTTTCACAAAACCCTGAATTGTAAAGAACTTACATCAGAATAGCAAACGTATAGGAAAAAGTAGCTGATTTGGAGATATTCTTAAACTCAACTCTAGTTACAGAGCAACTATTTACAGAAACATGAGGATTTCCACTCACATGAAGTGGAGCTTCCCTACCAACTCCAGCTACTATATTTGAATATAATTGTATTAAGGCCCAATGTAATTTTTAGCTCCACTCCCACAAAGCCCCTAGTCTGGCGCTGACAGTCCAAGTCTACCATGTGTAGAATCACACATTGTGATCCCGCTATAGCTATATGTCATTTAATATGCAACTTTGGTTCATCACCGTATTTTTTCATTTCAGAGCTATGTTGGGTACAAATTCCATTTATCTGTTAGTTCTTCTGTCTGCGTCAGCCCAGGTAGGTACAAGATTCAAAAGTGTCTTTGAAGGAATAGTAAGATATAATTACAAAAAAAGTTTAATGCAATGTATGTGTTTAGTGAAAGTTTAAGTACAATTGGCAGTGAATTTAAGTAAAAGCTGATTATAGTGAGTTGGTGTGTTTTTCTAGATCACCTATTTAGGTCTGAGTTTTGCCATTTTAATTATTTTTCACTACTTCTTCTATTTAAGTTTTAGTAAATAATCCAGTCAGAGATATCAAAAGTCCTCAAAAAGACAACCCGGGTGCCAAATGGATTTGTTTACAGGGAACCCTGGGTTTCTGATGAGAATCTATTCAGACACAGAGTAACGGTGTAATTAATAGCTACAGGAGGTGATATAATAACCCATGGGACATTTTCAAAGGATTTTTACTATTATTTATTCTGTACATTTAGCAAATTAATTGCTTGTGAGGTATGAAAAATGAATGCGAAAATCCACACTGCTGTATTTAAAGGACCACTATAGTCACCCAGACCACTTCAGCTCAATGAAGTGGTCTGGGTGCCAGGTCCCCCAGGTTTTAAACCTGCAGCTGTAAACATACCAGTTTCAGAGAAACTCAGGGCCCCCCTCAGCCCAGCAGGAGGGTGGGGGGACCTAAGGACTACGTAGTGCCAGGAAAACAGGTTTATCCAACTCTATCCAGGAACCGGGTGCCTCCATCTTACCTCCCACAACTTGTAACAAATACCTTCATGGAGTTGGAGGTAATCACAGGTCAGGATGGAACATAGTTTGGAGAAAAAGAAGCACAATCTTTTTTCTCTTTTTGTGTGCCCTGCCCGTGCCAGGACGGAACTGGATTGTGATGTCAAATGCTAAATCTTTAATTTCCATTACTAAGAATACAGAGCATGACATGAAAAGAAGGATCACCCACGTTATAAGTGATAGTTTTATTCAATGGTATTCATTTTAGAGATGAAACAGTGTCTGGCCTTCACGGTGAGCTGTAACTGCTGGAGACCTATTGCTGAGCCTCTAATAGTGTTTATTAGCCAAGATACCAATGTACAGGAGTCAGAACAGTTCCATGTATTGTGATGGTACCCAGTTTAATGTGAATCCACCTAATCTGACATTTCAGCATGGCGCACACAGTGAATTGTATTCAAGTTTTGACTCTGCTAACTACGCCATTTGCAAGAAACACACGTATTGTTTTTGGGATCTGACATCAGTAACTGTGATTTTGTTTGGTGCAGGCAACATCCCCCGTTTCACCACACAAACAAGTTATTGAAGTGCTTGAAAACTATAAGGCGTCTCCTTGGTATCTAGGCAAGGTAAAGTAATGGAACGTATAATGGAGAAATGGTTTTCAAGTTAACAATACATATTTTGTTAGATTTTATCAACAACGTATTGCATTTTTCTTTTTCATACTTGTAGTTGTCATTACAAACGTAATTATTAGCAGCAGTGTCCTAGCTGTGCCCTGTTTGTGAATGCCTTGTGTCATGGCTTCTGGTTTGAGTCCTCATTATGATCTAACTTTGCCCTAGTTTTAAAAAAATGTGTGGTGCTGCCTTAAAAGACCAAAAAAAATCCTACTTAGAAATACATGTTCCAGGTGTGCCTCCAATCCTGTTTTTTCTGTGTATATTTCAAATCCAGATGAGATTGCAATTGGGTTTAGCACCCCACCCATCCACTATAGATGCACCTTGGAGGTGATCACAGGATAAATTGACGAGAGTCTCAGGAAGCAGTTTAAAGGGACACTCCAGGCACCCAGATCACTTCTGTCCATTGGAGTGGTCTGGGTGCCAACTGCCACCACCCTTAACCCTGCAAGTATAATTATTATAAACTGCAATAATTACCTTGCAGGGTTAAGTCCTCCTCTAGTGGCTGACCATCAGACAGCCACTAGAGGGACTTCCGTGTTCTTAGAACACGAAAAGTGTTTTAAATGATGCTGAACGTCCTCACGCTATGCACAAGGACCTCCATCGCCGCGGGAATTCCCATAGGAAAGCATTGAATAATGCTTTCCTATGGGGAGGTCTAATGCATGCAAGCGGCCATTGATTTGCATGCGCATTAGGTCTCCCCCCTGACGTGGGCGGGGGAGGAGCGTGGGCGGAGCCTGACCCAATGCCGAAGGGACATCGGCGCTGGATTCAGGTAAATCACTGAAGGGGTTTTAACTGGAGAGTCCCTTTAAGCAGTATGCATTGCAGTTAGCATGTTTATCTCCCATGTCAAAATTAGTCTAGGACCCACCGATATTGGGGTCCTGTGATGTAGTGCTGGGTTTGACACAATATGGCCACATGGTGCAAATGAATCCCCATATTTGTTTGCTAAGATAGGGGATTTTATATAGCCTTGTAAAATGTAAAACTGTTTTTTTCGTGTGTGCGCTGTTCCTCCCTAATCTGTATTTTGTATATATAGTGGTATATTAGGCAGCACTGCTACTGAGAAAGCACAGCCTGCAGCCAAAGACCTTATTGTCATGTAAATCCACTGGAAATGTTTAGTCACATTGCTACTCATTTATCGGTATTATTACTAACATTATTAATTGAGTGCTAATTGTGTGGAACATTCTTTTCAAATCTTAAGCCAAAGCAGTTGAATTGGACAGAAAATCTAAGTTGGCCATGCTTTTATTTTCACTTACAAATCACTGTGAATTCACAGAAATCTACACATCCAGGATTATTCACTAAAGCTTTCGGCTGAGCTACTCTGGCCTTAAATTTGAAAATCACTTTAAAATCATTTAGAATTCTCGCTGTAGTAAATAACCCTGAATGAAAACACACAATATGTATACATTCAGCGGCTGAACTAACGCAGAGAGGGCCCTGCTCCATGAATTCCCTCCCCTCCCCCATCACAAGAGAGGGCAAAAGAAAGATTCCACAACTGTTAAAGCGCCGCAGTACAAGACCCTACAGACAAATGCCCATCAGGTGGCTGTAAGTGCATGGGCGACCCAATGGGCCCCCCTCTTTGTGCAGGCCCCGGTGCAGCCGCACAACCAATACCGGCAGTAGTTCTGCATTATATAAAGTACACAATATACACGTGAGTAAAAAATGCATACTTTATTTGATTGGTACATTTCTCTGCCAGATATGTTTCAGTAGTTTTTTTTTCTCACAAATAACACCAAATAAATCACCACACACAGTTTGTGTTTTATGTTCCATGTTTCCACTAAGGTCCCTTTAATTCTATTTAGAGAAACCGCAGAGTGACTTAGCATGTGTCAGTAATGCGTGCACTTTGTAGCAGGCTGTATTCCCACTTTGTAACTGCCTGACGGTTATCCTAATAGAATTTGCCAATTAACCTTACAGTAAATTCCCTTCTAGATAAAGCTTGCAGCAGATGGCCCGTATGATACAGAGTTGGTTGGGAACGACGAAGGGATATTTCATTTTGATCCAGAGACTGGCTTTTTGCAGACCAACCAATCCTTTGATCGAGAGAAGCAGGAATTCTACACCCTTCAGGTGCCGTGATTGAATACAAAAGCAATATAAGCAGCGCAGTTAAATAAGTGGCCTGTGTTGCCATAGGTTCTCCATATTGGTTGTGAAATACAGAAATACATACCTGTACCAATAGATTGTTTTATATCTCGGTCTGTCACCGCCAGAATTAGCTCTGACATATTAGTGGGCATAGCTCGCAATGACCATAGAAGGGACACTATAGTCACCAAAACAACTTTACCTTAATTAAGAAGTTTTGGTGTATAGATCATTCCTCTGAAGTCTCACTGCTCAATTCTCTGCCATGTAGGAGTTAAATCACTTTTGTTTCTGTTTAAGCAGCCCTAACCACACCTCCCCTGGCTGTGACTGACACAGCCTGCCTGAAAAAAAATCATTTTCACTCAGATGTAGCCAACTTTAAAAGTTTTATCTCCTGCTCTGCAAATGTAATTTTAATTACATACAGGGGGCTCCCGCAGGGAGTAGCAAGCTAGTAATAGAGCAGGAAATAAGAAATTCTAAATTAAACATAGTTTGCAATAAAGGAAGTGCAAACATTAGATGACTCTTTACAGGAAGTGTTTAGTAAGGCTGTGTAAGCCACATGCAGGGAGGTGTGACTATGGCTGTATAAACAAAGTGATTTAACTTCTAAATGCCAAAGAATTGAGCAGTGAGACGGCAGGGGCATGATGTATACACCAAAACTGCTTCATTAAGCTAAAGATGTGTTGGTGACTATTGTGTCCCTTAAAACTATGCTTGTTATTTACCCCTTGTGATGTTTACATAACTATGAAGAGAAAAAGAACACAAATAGTGCAGATTGTACAAATGTAACCAGAGATTTTGATAGAAATTATAAAAAAGATTTTTAAAATGCACAAAAACAGGAACACAAAAAACAGGTAAAACAATAAGTAAATATAGTACAGCCACAAGAGGGAGCAAAACATTTTGAGAAAAATAAAATGTAAACCGCTATTGCAGTGCTAGATCTTCAAAGATCGGACAAGCACAGTAATTATTATAAATACAATCTACATTTAGAAAGCGTATATTTATATAAAAAAAAATCTATTTAAAAACCAAACAATAAAATAGAAGTAACCATAGTGTAATGTAGTGGTCATGGTGCTTGGAGTGTTCATTTGATGTTCTATACACTTTGTTACATTTTCACAGGTGATTGTAAGAGGTAACGAGGAAGCTGTGATTGATTCGGTCACCATCCAAATCATCATTAAAGATGCCAACGATAACCAGCCTGTCATGACACATAAAACCTTTCATGGCGTTATCAGCAAAGGATCGGGGCAAGGTACAAACCTGGGCTTAGTCTTGATAATTAGGCTTCAAATTTGGCCTCTCTTCTGCAAAATAAAAATTAAAACAATCAAGTAACGCATAAGAACAAATTGTTCATATTTTTTGCCATTCAAGGGATGCAGCATGCAAAAATGCCCCCGCTCCCTTGTTTTTTAAGGCATTATATTGATAATGCACTCAAAATATGGAAAAAATACATCTGATTTCCTAACAGTGTAGCACTTGCTTACTCCTGCGAGTGCAGTCGACAGACCAGGAAGAGGAACCTCCAATCCAGAGTCTGGCCCATCGGGTTTTTTTCTTATCCATTCTTTGTGTTCCCTGTATGGTTTATTAATACAAAGATAACTTTTAATATTATTGCTCTTTGACTGTGTATTAAACAGACGAGCCACAAATATAATATCTAAAGTTGTACGTGTGAATGTGAGAAGCTGAGAGCTTCACTTGGCAGGATTACCCAACCCTCTTCAGCTGCCGTTAGGAGGACGGAAAAAAATGAATCGGGCATTAATGAAGCATATGACTTATTGTTCTAAGTCCCTCTTCTAAACATGTGGTCAGAGATCTGCTGTCAGATGTCTTTACAAAGCTTCCCACACTCTAGCGCTCCACACTAAAATGTCAGGGCAGAGATACAGGACCATTTTAGCCCTCTTATCTCACCAGTTGGACCACTTTATCATTAGCTGATACTTCAGTTCCAGCAATATAACACAGTGTGTGCATGGTGTATACACATTTATAATAGAATGCTGTATCTGTGACTAGTGTTAGAACAAATTCTATTATTTCTAATTTACGGAATTAAGATTGTAATGTATTTATTCACTACACAATGGGTTGTGAAGAATAATGATGGAAGCTTAGCAAAGTTGCCCTCAGTTTGACCTAAAATCAGTTGTTAGTTAGCTATACATCACTGGCATCAATAGGGGATGCAGACCCCCTGCATGACACCATAAAGGCGGTAACGCCAGCAAGGTCGCATTGGGGTGCCCTAGCTGGGGAGTTGATGCAAAATGCATCCTGCTGGCCTGTCCTTGCAAAGAATCAAAGAGCTCTCTCACTGGCTCAGTGCAACCAGTACACAGGGCCCAGAGACCTTCTGGTCAGGATCTTTGTCAGGTGTGGACCTTGCATATAATTCTCGTGAGTTCCAGCACTATCACTGATAGTAAACCTCATTGATTTATTAGTTAACGTGTGAATTGCTGGGAATTTACAGTGAATTTCAGATTGTAAGTCACAAAACCCAAATTGAATAATTGTTCAAAGTCAGCGATAATTTCAATGCGACTGTTTTGACTTTCTTTTTCAATCACTCTGGGGCTTATTTACTGAACAATGAATTGTAAGGAATTGAAAAATACATTGCAAACCTCAGGCTAAAATAGCCCAGCTGTGACTGGAACTGAGTTGGAAAATGTTCCCAATTGACCAATTTTAGCCTTAAAGGGACACTCCAGTGTCAGGAAAACACTGGAGTGTCCCTTTAATTTCCTGGAGTGTCCCTTTAATTTCTCAGTGTGATTTTCAGTTCACTCTAACACAGTTGTTTAGTAAACACACACTTTGAATTGTTGAGCTTCACACTTCAGTGAATAAGACGACATGTCAAAGTTTATAGGACTCATATTTAAGAAAACAGGAAACACATTAAAATCATTGAGGAAAGGATTCTGAAAAATATCATAGATTATTGTAAACCATTCGGAATACTATTGCCCTGTTTATGCGCTGTATAAATCCAGAAATTGATCTAGAGGTTTCACATGGTGTTGACAAGTCATGTAAATCTAAGATTCTCAAGAATCTTTGTAAATAATTAGCTGCAAAGACGCTGCCCAGCACTAAGGGGGTTAAATACAGAGCAGATGTCATTAATTTAAACCTAGCGAGAAATAGCCACGGAGCTCTTGGATAACACAAACAAGTCACAGTCTATGACATCATTCTGGAGAATAAAGTAAATGATTTGACATGTTTACATTGCACCTTTCACCGAAGGGATTCCCCTCTCCGAGCTGTGTTTTGCAGAGGATAATTCTGGAAGTAACATTTCGATTCATGTTTCAGGGTATAAATTCCCGATACGTAAGTCTGGCAGGATTTTCTGTGTTTATTCTACAGATCCGAAGAATAAACAGTAATACTCTATTAAATTGGTGCTGTGCACGTCCCTAACACCTCACAATCCACTATAACTGCATATGTGGGGAAATGACAGTATTTAGACTGTGAGATGGCCCAATGGCTCCAGCTCCAGATGCAATGTCTCAAAAACCCAGGCTCAGCTCCTGGCACGGTCAATACATTATTTTATCTTGCTCATGTTGTTTAAAGAAAGTACGGTTAAGTTGGGTAATAATGGCAGCTAGAGCCAAGGGCCTCCTTAAAACTGTCTTAATGTCCTCTAACTCGTTAAATAAATACTTTGATGTTATTATTATTATTTAACTATATTAAAGTAATACACAACTATTACAAGAGTTTTGAGACTTTCTGAACATTTATGGTAAGATTTCTAAAGACATCCCTAACGAAAAAGTGGATCAGAGTTCTAAAGATGGAGAAATCGTATTCGTATAGGAACCCAATGGAGTGTTCTCGGTTTCCTTGGTGATTGCTTTACCTTTAGAATGTTCTACTGGTGACACATTTATAAATCTCGCCCATTACCTGCATCATGTGCTAGTCTGTTCATGCCCAGCTGTAAGTAGACATGCCTGGACCTCAATGGTTTTGGGTCATTGTATCCACACGTTGTCTCTATAATGCCAGTTTGGTAATAACTGATTGACACAGTGCCGAGTACTAATCTTGTTTATTGCCTGTTCTAGGAGTGGCTTTCATGCACGTGCAAGCCACTGATGAAGATGATCCTATGACAGATAACGCAGATTTACGTTATTCCATCTTGCCGTATAACTCGGCGCCTTATAAAGATATGTTCCAGGTGGAAGCACAAACAGGAGCAGTTTCTTTAACTGAGCAAGGTAAGATTGCTTCTGTAGAAAGTACAAATCAAATCAGACCTCCGTGTGTTAACAGTATCTTTTACAAGTTTAGTAAATACTCCCCATAGCTCTTCATTCGATTAGATTGCAATCATTCATCCCCACCCCCCCCCCTCCCATGTAGCCAGCCGCAGGTACTGGATGGTGGTAATGAGTATTTGTAGATCCTACAACCTAAACTCAACTGCCTAGTAAAGACTTCTCATTGAGCTGCATTGGGAAGTCTGTGATTGGACAGCCACAGAAAGTCTGGGCGGGGTTAGAAGGGGAGGGCTTGCAAAGGCTGCAGACAGGAGATCTGCAGCTTCTGCAAGCTGTTTTTAGATATAACCCTAGTGTTAACATTTGTAGTTAAATGTATGCATTTTTATTTCATGGGGGATTATATCTTCTAAACAGTGATTTTTTATTAATTTTGGAGTGTTCCTTTAAGGCTGATTCTGCTGTCTATTAAACACACTCTTGCAAGCTGAAGCTATAAAGTAGCTCTGTTAAATGTCATATTGTGACAGACGACAATATTAAAAGCTAGATCAGAAAATGTGCGCATTAAAAGCGGCTACCCATCCCCTATTATAATTACAGCGTGTGCAGCAAACAATAAACACAAGCAAAATTATAATATACACTCATTTTGCAATGTTCTCATCTTGACATGGAAAGAAATTGGTTGCTCCTGAAATCTACAAATCACAGCACTTTGTTCTGCTAACGCGACAAAGGTTTTATTGTTTTTCTGACATGTGATGAATTTGTTTCAACAGCACAGTACATTCATATTATGCAAACCATATACTTTTTAAAATGCCAAGGACACGCGTACTTAGGAGCAGCAGAAAAGCTAAGCTAGTGTCCTACACTATAATTTAGCGAGTCAACAAAATAAATCACTTTTCTCTTTTATCATGCGGCGTTGTACACTCATTTTATTCCCGACAATTCTATGACATCAGCTGTTAAGAAACGAAACAAAAAAATAATAAAACATTTTACCGGGAAACCTTGCTACCTCTAAGAATACAATACAGACTCCGACATGAAGGTACCACGGATTTCCTGATGGCCTGCGTAAGAAAACTCCTACTGATGTACGTAAGAGACTGGGAGAGACCTTCTTTACAATTTTCAGATATTCTTTGTGTTGGTGAAAAGATTCACCAATCATTTCATAAATGTACCCTGTGATTTTTTTTTTTTTGACAACTCTTAAGAAATCACAACTTCTTAGTCAGCCTGCGTGCTTTGCTGTTATCACTGTTGAATTATGAAAAGTAGTCCTTTGGGTGCCAGAGGGAAGATGGTCCAATTGCGTCAGCCTACGTGCTGCAGTTGTGTCAGCTTGCTGGCCTTGACTCTACATTTGGCACACCTTGGAAACCATCAGATCCAGGATATTGTAAATTACATTTCTGCTGGGAAATAACAACTGGACATTGCTTATTGTATAGGTCCAGGACCATTTTCAACGTTGTCTTTGCAGCTGTGATTCCTGTGATTTTTATTAGATTTTGTACATTTCAATGATTTTTACTGATTTGTTTCTGGTTTTGTGTTCTCTCAAACCTGGCTATTTTCTCTGATGTTTTTGTTCTCTGGTATTATACCCACTGTGCGAGTGGATGTTTCTTTTGTCTTAGTCTCTTAAGAGGTATATCCTTAAGCCCTGTAGTTCTTAGAATTAAGAATACATGTTCTTGTCCCTGGCCTACAACCCAATCATTTATGGTCAAGTTGTAGCCTAGACTCTGTCCATGAATCCATACATATTCTGGCACATAGTAAAGAAACTCACATATCAAAACATGTTAAGGATCTAGCATATTTTACAAATGCTTGTTGCAAGAAATGGTGCACAACGTAGTCTATAAAATGCATCAAATTAAACTCTTCCCCTCGATAACACAAGCTGTTATATTACCTGCATTATTCATGTTCCAGTAATGTATAAAAAGTTTGTACATCATCGCAAAGAATGCAGAACATAGAACGACAGACTGGCTGGGGCAAATGCTCACTTGCTAAATTACTACTGATTGAAGAATTTGGTTTCATCAACAGCAGATTTTATAACAAAACACTAGATATTCTGCAAAGATACAGTGGAATCTGGCAATCACCATCAAACAGCCAGACAGACATGATGATACATGGTTTAATTGGCGCTGCCTGGTTAAATGTGAATTTACATTGTATTTTCCGTTGACAATCTAAGAACCCCATTTTGTATACACTGTATTCATTACTAGCAGGCTCCAGTCCACGCCTTCACAATCCATGTTAATATAAATTGGACAAATTATTTAAAAGAAATCAGTGTTGTTAAAAAAACATCTTACAAAGAAAAAGAGGAATGGATTTACTAAATAATTTACATCTCGTGGTTAGAAATTTCAACTATTCATGCCATCTTCTATATCCAACAGGTGCTGCTACTTTGCCCGAGCTGCAAGAGACCAAGTTCAAGTTTGTGGTTCAAGTTAAGGACATGGGGGACGAACCGCTCGGGAATAAAGACACTGCAAACCTTGAGATTGATGTTGCAGAAAATACGTGGGTCACCCCAAGCCCGGTGACTCTTCCAGAGAATCAAAAATTTGACTACCCTCGAGTCATCTCTCAGGTAAGCAGTTCCTCATCATCTATACGCTATCTATTCATAATTCAATCTACTAATGGATCTGGGGAGTGGGGAGATGTATGGCACTTAAAAGTTGGGTATCACCTTAATTAGGTATCACTGTGTTTGCCTCCTTTGAGGTTTAACAGAAGATTCAGGTATGAGTGAAATGCTAACCATTTGTTCATAGGTCTTCTTTAAACGCAGATGTTACAATGTGCATTTACACAATTGAAAGCTGTGAACACGCACAACTTTCTATCCCTCAGCTCCACCATTCAACTGATCCTCATTTACTCACCTTTTCAATTTACATTGTGATGATATCAGCTGCCATCACCAGGCACACTATTAGCTCCTTATAATTCATTGGCGGACAAAGTAGAGTGATCTTTGGTGAAGTAAGTGCATGCTCCTGACCAAGGATCACTTAAATTGTAGCGCTCGGTTAGGGAGTTAGAGAGTGCTACCAGCATGGATAAGTTTCCTCTAATTTGTGCAAATATAACACATGCAGATCGAAATATACATAAAATGTTATTTTTATAGCAGCAGGCATAATTGGCTTCTCATTGGGAGAATGTGCCTCTTTCAATGTAGACTCTTAAAGTACTGAGACAATCCAACTGACTAGGGCAATGGTGTCTGATGTCCCACTGCTGTCAGTGTGAGGAAAACATCTAAAACTCGTGATTGAATTACATAAAAAAATAAAACAGGTAAAAATGCACGGGAAAAAATGGTAAAACATGCCAGCACGTTGGCCCAAACTGTATCATTTATTTTAACCAAACATTGAATTTAATCATAGTCTAACCTATGACTACGTGCAATGTTGCATTAGATAATTAAGGCAGGACTACTGTGCTACTATTTATTGTATTAGTATTATTGTTAATGAATATAATTACTATTACTAATTACTATCACCATCATCATTTTGATCTACGAATTACAGACTTTGCCAGTTACTGCTTAGTTTCCCACAAATACTTTGCTTTTAACATGCACCGCTGTGTAGCTTTCAGTATTTGTGTATATTTAAAATGTTATTTAATCTAAAATATCTCATTCTGTTATTTATATGAAATCACAGTTTTTGTTTTTCTTACATTTAATTCCGAGGTTAACCCGTAGGTGACACAGGGTAAAACTCCCTTAAAATTCATTTTATTTTAACCAATTCTCACACCCTCTGAATATTTTTTCCTACGTTCCTTCTTCGGAGAATTCTACTGTCTGCCGTGCCGCCACATATCTTTTTAACGAGGTCATATACATGATGCATTGCAGGACAGAGCAAAGCCAGTTTAGAAACAGCCATTAGCAGTAAACTAAACACGTTAGGCGTTACATTTAGAATGATTGTTTACTGAGCAGTTTTAGGGGAGCAGACAGTGAGATTTAGACATTTCCCATATAGACATTTGCTTTTCTCCATGTTAGGAGCTGTAAAGCAGTGTGGGAGGTGAAGACCTGTATTCTACTTGAAAACAGCAAACATGCCATCTTTGGAGAGGCCAAAACAATAGAACTTGTTGCTACAGTTACTATGGAAACTGTTGATATTGAATGCAATCACTTTGCTACATTTCTCTATAAATCTTTTGTTCCGGGCAGATTGTCCTCTGCATGCTGCGGCTCAAAACTCGGGTTATTTAGTAGTACATTTTTTAACTTTTTAAAAAAAATTTAACCATCTATTTGAATTATAAACTGTGTTATGCATTGTGGCTATGAGCACTCACAAAAAATCATCAGACCATCAAGGTGGAGAGGTGCAGAGGGCACAGTATTTGTAGTATGTGATGCTTAGCAAAGGAGACAGGAAAACTGTGTCCAAGGCCAAGGTTGGGCAAAAGGTACATCTCCAGAAGTTGTAGAACTGCAAACTCAATGATGCTGTGTCATTCTACATCTGGGAATCTACTTTTTGCACAATCCACCTATCCTATGCATCTTATTCCTGTAAGCCAGAGGCAGAGATCACCTCTTTGTCCATCTAAAACAACAGAAACGCATATGATCACGGGGTGTGGATGGATGTCCGACCAATGTTACTAATGTTACAAAGTCCTACTAAGCCCTCAGTGAATACTTTTCTAGCAACCTACTTCGTACCCCTACTTTTACCCTTTGTGTCACTATACTCTACTCCCTCTAGAATGTAAGCTCATTGAGCAGGGCCTCCTCCTCTTTGTCCAGTTGTCTGGTTACAATTACATGTCTATTAGTCCACCCATTGTACAGCGCTACGGAATCTGATTGAGCTATAACATAATAAAATAATAAATAATAATAATAATAAAGTTATTGTGAAAGTAAGATAGAACATAAAAATAAACTGTGAATCTGAAGAAGCTATTGGCAGAAGGTTTGTTAGGTTTGAAAATAATAATAATTAATTGTGAGGATTTTATATTTTAACTAGGTCAGGTGGAATAGCACGGAGGTTCAATATCATCTGGCGGGGAATTTTGCAGAAGGCCTTTTCACAATCGATAAAACAGGAAACATCTATGTAACCAGAGAACTGGACAGAGAAATTGAAAGCCAGGTAAGAAAATGACGAGCAAACCAGTGAACAATATCCGCAAAAACTTTTGATAAGTGTAAAAAGTGGTAATTGTAGACACGGATGTATCAAAGTGCGCTGTAGCAAAACCTTTGATTGATGGATAGTCAGACAAACTGATCGTCAGAAAGCCAAATATATAGAAATAAAGATTAACTGATGAATTGACAGACCTGCTGATTGTCAAAAAGCGAGATAAATATATAGATGTATAGAACAGTCGATGAATGGACAGATAGATTGCAGTAGTCAAGTAATTTTCTTCATATGACCAACAGATGTCTTTGTTCTATCATTTTCAGCACCAGATTGAAGTGTCTGCTGTGAATTTTTATAACATTTCCTACAGTGACCCACTACAGATTTCAGTTATAGTCCAAGATGAAAATGACAATAAACCAGTATTTCCCCAAAATACGTATCATGTGGAGATCACAGAGAAAATGACAAGAGGTAGGAACAATAAAATGTAATTTTGTTAACAAGAATAACTGGCAAAGTCTTGTCAGTGCCCATTTAAAACTGGCAAAGTCGGCTTTGGAACTCTCAGTCCTTCTTGGATTGTCCTCTGTTGGTATGAGCTGTGATGATGGGCCAGGAGAATGGAATAAGATGGGATGCTGACCTGGTAGGGGCAAATGGAATGAATTGAGGAAATCGGATGGAATGGATTAATTGTATGAGATAAGGAGATGGCCTAGGATTTAGACTTGTGCATTTGGTTTCACAACGAACTGGGATTCATCTGAATTTTGGGCAATCGGCTGGTGTACGAATTCCATAACTCTAAAGTGCCATCTAGACAGATCATGAACAAACTAACAAGGCAGTGGACACATAGGCTCATTTGTTTTGCGAATGTTCATGGTGCCAAGTCTAGAAAACACAAAAAAACTGATGATTGATGGAAAAAAGATGATTGATAGTTAGGGCACAGTCACTAAATGTTGTTTTAATTTAGTGACCAATAGAGGGGAAAAGACAGGGAGCAATAAACAAAATCTATATGTGAATAATTATAGTCTGTATATTTTGTAGTACACTGATTGACCCATTTTCACAACTTTTTTGTTCATCTGAATAATTTTTCAATATCATTTGCATGGTCGAAAATCATCCATACCGACTTGCCACATGGTCAACTTTCGGACTACACAAAAAAAATGTTTTTCTGCGAATTGATTTGGCCAGACCAAATTTTTCCGTACAATCTAATAGTATAGGTTAAATGTATAAGATGAGAAGATGGCATAGGATTGGTTGATGTGATAGTGGCATTGAATTGAATAATAGAGGAATCATTTCTAGATTAGTAGTGATCATGCCATGGAATAGAGTAGTATTCTCTAATACAGTCATGTCCAAAGTCCGGCCCACAGGCCAACTACGGCCCGCGTTCTGGTTTAATACGGCCCCACAGGTAATTTGTTAAATATATATGTTGTGGCTCCAAGTGAATGCCTGAGCGCCGCTGAGGACGTGCGCTCTGTTTACCTGGTTCCAGCAGTAAGAGACATCTGCCTCCAAAATTCAAATAGCATATAGATGGCTTGGTATGTGGGATTCCATTTTAATTCACTTTATAACCACACAGTGATATTCCTTAAGCCGAGAGTAACTAAAACTGGTAGGAAGTCACCACATCTGAGTTTGTCTCGAAATGAGTTCCAAAAGAGTTGAACAGCAGAACCTAATTTCCTTTAGGCCACCTTGATGTCCATCAGAAATAATCTCAGTAGATCCCAACTAGTTCCTTGAGTCCATCGGTGAAAAGTGAATTTAATTAGATCCATTCTCAAGATTCAGTGACAAAACCTGAGACCCAACAAACATATCATTTAAAACAGCATATACAATAGGTCATGAATGTATGGATATTTTTTTTTTGTATTCCTATGTAGGATCTGTGCTGCTTCACCTACATGCAGATGATGCTGATGAGAAGGACACCATCAATACACAAATAAGCTACAGGATTGTCAGTCAAGAACCCAGCACCCCCGAAAATGTATTTGCCATTGATGAAAAGAATGGGGATCTGACTTTGCAGAATAGCAACCTCTGGGCAGGAAACACAAAGACATATCAAGTGGAAATCACCGCCACTGACCTTGCTGGAGCCCAGGATGGTAAACTGTGTCATTATATTTATATTAATATAATTTATTGAAAGTAATATGTGGTGTTGTACTGTGAACAAATGTCAGTTGTTGACAACCTAAGACGTATTCAAACAGCCTGTCCTGATATATGTAAAGGACCTCAAACACACAGACCCTAATCTACAAGAGAGAGTGAGAATGGCTAGAGGGATAGCCACGGTCAAGGGGAGGAGAAATTACAGTAAATGTTAGACAAACCAAAATTTAAGGATAATCAAACCAAGGTCATTGGTCATAAAGTATCACAAACTCACTATTGGGCTAAACAAGACCCACAACAGGGTGATTGTGAGTTTGTGACAAGAAAGGCTGGGATTTAAATACTAGTGGCTATATTTCTATTGGGCAACATCATAGGGGAGCACCAGAAGACGTAAAACCAATTTTGTGTTATTTGCAACTTCATTCGCGTGCTCCGAATAGGCTTTCAACTGCGCGCCATTCAGACATAAGAGCGAACATCAGCAACATGCGCCATCTGAATTATTGCCAGGCAGCGAGGAGGAGCCCAGGAGGCGGTACATTTAAAACAGCGTGATAAATCCTGTGCTTCTGAGATTGCAGATTACATTGTTTACATTCGCTGTAAGAACTAAGGAAATTAAGAATTGAAAGGGGTACTTCAAATTTTAGACCAAAGTAGTCAAGCTAGAAAAATAGCTAAGTAGAACCTTTTGTTGTGGATACTATGACCAAAAATATGAAATTGTCCTAATGAGGCACCTTTAACATGGCATCCAACACCAGTGATATGAGATACCCTGCTTCCTACTCCTCCAAATAAACACACACAAAAAATTGCGAGAGTAAAAGTTACACATACATATAAAACAATGGGTTTGTGCATGGCAAAAGAATTTAGTTCATCCAAATTAAATTGTCGGGAAAAAAATAGTTTCTGGCAATTCGAATTTAATCCATGTGACACTTCAGTTCGAACTAATTTTATCTATGCAACTATTTTGGGAAAACAATTCTTTCAAAAGAAAATGGCGTGAAAATTTACCTATAAGTGTATTGCAAAGTATGTACATCATGTTATATATATAGATTTTGCGGTAGACTGATAGGCGCATTTTCACGCCATTTGGTTAACTGATCGAGTGACAAGAAGTAACCGACACAATGGTAAAAAAATGAGTAGTAAAAAAAAATCTATATTTCTATATTACATATTTATTAAATATGTAATATAGAAATTGTAAAAAATGGAGATGAATGGATGTTCAATGTTGATTCTTCTTAATTTCTTCTTATCTTCAGTTGATTGATATATATACGTCTTTTGTATATATATTCTTGGGCCAAATGCTCGCCACAATAATATATGTCAATATTATTGAAAAGTAGTAATACGCAATCTGACTTACAGTTTCTTCAGGTTTATTCTTTGTTACGGATACATAATAAAGGATGTTACAGGATTATGGACATTCAACAGCAGATGGTAATTGCTGGACTTCTGATGGGAGAGTTACATCGTTGTACAGAGCCAAGACTCAAACCAAGACAGAGACTGAGAGACCTCGTGTCCCTCTGTTACTATATAGAAGTGCTAATACTAACGTCAGCATATAACTCTAGCCATATAAGGACAAGACCCCCGAATCCACATTCCAGAGCTCTCGGACAAAGAAAGCCTTGTGACTTATTGATACCATCTGTTACTTATGTCAATCCACACATCCATATATATAATCAATAGAAACATAGAATATGCAATATTCTACATTCCCTCTGTTTATGGTTTGTTTTAAAACCATAACACAATGTAATTAACCTGTCCATTCATACATCACTTGTATCACATTCATTGAGCATAGAACAAGATGAAGTCACAACTTTCTATTATATGAGAGTTCTTAGAAGGTCGAGTTTCTATCCCTCACACTGCTTACTTTACTTCAAAACTTCCTCTGTTTCAGCTATGTATTGATATCCATATCCATGTTACATCATAACTACTTGAACATAATATATACATATATATAACAATAATAAATGACTAAAATAAAATATTTACAAATGTTGATCCAATAAACAATAAAACAATCAAAAATATCTACCTGCTCAGGTACAGTCATGTCTTTGTAGACAACAAAATCAAGATCGTAACTTTCTAAATAATAACTGTGTATCACTATCATATTCCTAATAAAGACACATATAAAAGTATTTTCATTCTCAATACCTGATATTACTTAAGTACTAATACATGTATTACTATAATATCCTGTCCAATTAGATTTCCATGAATCATATGGTTTCTAGCAACCTTAAAATCTTTAGGTCATTTATACCATTAATACCACCTAGTGATGATTGTATCAGTACTTTACAATCATAGTATTTAATTTGTATATTCAGTAGGCTCTCACTACCTGAAATATACCAACACTACTTATAAGTCTCATTCAAAGGATGTGTTATCAACCATAAAGTTCTAGAATAATTCTTTGATTAATGTTCATTGTGTTGACTATACTTATTGTCCTAGAAATTCTGCACCCAGAAATCTTTCTATCATAGATTTGTTTTTGTTCACATAATTATAATTTTCACTAAAATTCCACCTTGTAGTAACAAACTTTACATGCAATCGGAGAATGGTTTACTTTAAAAGAACTTGGAAAGAATAATTTAAATTCATTATCATCACTCTCTTCATTAGCTTCGTGATGACTTATTAATGTAATACATCTTAAAAGCAGGATTGTCCTAATGTTCTGACCAATCCTTATTCCTTAGTACACTTCAACTGACTAAAATAAAATAAACAAAACTTGGGGTCATACTGCCCAGAAACTCTTATTCCTAGTCTGTGTCTAACAAACTCAGGGAAATCTTAAAACAACTTAACAACGTATTCATTGGATACCATCATATCCAGAAACCTATTCTCCCTAGTCCATACCTTTATAGACTTAGGTCAAATATAATTGTGTACTAAACTCTTAACTAAACTTCAATTCAATTCCTCTTGGATCTCTGAACTCTCATATCCAAGGCATTCTTAATGTATATAATTACTTAATATAAATCAATATAAATTATTCTTCCTTAGTTTTCTTCCTTATGTTACCATTGTTTGTTTTACTTCACCTCAATATAAACAAATTACTTATTATAATGAATCTATGAAATACTATTGAACTCAATCTTTGTGGTATTAAGTAACCATGATCCTTATTTTATCCACTTCATATTTTATCTACCTCTGATACTTCTCATTCTATGTATAGGTAATAATGTAATAGTTCTCATCATAATACTATCCTATCATAATTGTACTCCATGTGTTATATAGCTATAAGTAATCTCTTTTGGTATTAATACTCATAACTGTTAAATAACTTTTCATTGTCTGTTTTCTTCTTCATTAATATTTAGGAATATATATATGTATGTTAGTGTCAATCTTTTATTTCTTTGTAAGTCTGTTAATCTTCTGTATCGAATGAACTCTGTAGAATCTTCCATCACAGTTTGCCGATCAGATGAAAAGTCTCTTTCCAACAGTCGATGTCCAGTTGTCTGAAGGAATGCTTTCCTGATTTATTGCCACAAGGATCTGTCACGCTTTACCAGATCAGTTATTTCTGTCTATTTCGTTGCTTCATTCACACAGCTGCGCAGTTCTGGACGCTTGATTCTGGACGCGTGCCAATCTCTGCCTCGTGCTTGCTTCTAGATTTCACGTTGTATCTTGTGCTTTTTGTCTCAGTTGTAGAAAATAGTCTTGTACAGTCTTTGATTTGAAAACTTTCTTTTTCTTACAAACCACAGTTCTTCTATGATAGTCAGTCTAGATTCTTTTTTTTCTCTTCAAGTTTGTTTTCCCAGTTCCAAAATAGCTTTGTAACTCGATTCTTCTCTCTCCCCCCTTGAAGTGGGAACAAAACTTTGAATAGAAGACTGGCTGGCTAGCCAATGTAAAAAATGTAGATGAATGGATGTTCAATGTTGATTCTTCTTAATTTCTTCTTATCTTCAGTTGATTGATATATATACGTCTTTTGTATATATATTCTTGGGCCAAATGCTCGCCACAATAATATATGTCAATATTATTGAAAAGTAGTAATACGCAATCTGACTTACGGTTTCTTCAGGTTTATTCTTTGTTACGGATACATAATAAAGGATGTTACAGGATTATGGACATTCAACAGCAGATGGTAATTGCTGGACTTCTGATGGGAGAGTTACATCGTTGTACAGAGCCAAGACTCAAACCAAGACAGAGACTGAGAGACCTCGTGTCCCTCTGTTACTATATAGAAGTGCTAATACTAACGTCAGCATATAACTCTAGCCATATAAGGACAAGACCCCCGAATCCACATTCCAGAGCTCTCGGACAAAGAAAGCCTTGTGACTTATTGATACCATCTGTTACTTATGTCAATCCACACATCCATATATAATCAATAGAAACATAGAAAATGCAATATTCTACAGAAATATAGATTTATTTGTTTACTGCTCCTTCTTTATTTCCCCTCTGTTGGTCACTTCTCACTTGATCTGTGAATAAAATCATACTGCACTGGTTCTCCCCTAACTATCAATCATCTATGTTTTTGTTTTGTATGTTTTTTGGTGCCACGGACAGAACTCAGAATCACAAAACAAACTATCAATTCTCCATTTCGTTTGTTTTACGATTCATCCATATAAAGTTTCGGAGTTCAGGATTTTAGAAAAATCAATGATCTCCCAAAATTTGGATGAATCTCGAGATGCACAAGTCTAGAAAACAAATAATGAAGAACATGCACTAACAAGCTTACGATCCATATAGGATTTAATTAGCAGGTTCTTCAACAACATTTATCAATTAGTTATCATCAATTGTCTCTCGTACTGCCAGGTGAGATGTGCAGCTTGTCTCAGCGTGTTGCACCAGACAGAAGCGCAATAAGAGTGTCAGGTGCGACACACAATGCCTTCTATTGCACATGGAGTATCTCCGGGCAAGATGATCATCCTGTATGTTCTCTCAAGCTGTAATTACATTTCGACTTCTGAAGGGGAAGCTGTTGAAGAGAGCTGCAGCCTGTTAAATCTTTGCAGCGCATCTGATATTGACTCAATTATGAGATTTCCCAATTAAACTTTTGTTTGTTCTGTGAAATGCACGTGTCTGTCTGCAATTACTAAACCGCCGCTGCCCACAGTATCACGACCGCATTCCTTGTACCATCTGCTATCGTAAAAAAAAAATATCAATAAAAGGCGCTGTTGTAATTAACTGAAAAACCTTTGAAGGGAATTTGTTGGTCCTTCAAGAGTGTTTCATATGTATCCATTTAATGTTTCCCCGGTAAATCACACTTTGCTGGTAATTGGAACAGAAATGTGTTTGTCACATGTTATGGAGTTTTTCACTAAATAGTAGGTGTCATACCTCTCATCGGTCTCAGATTGGGTGAGAAAGTCACAATTTGAGTCTCCTGTCCCAAATCTATTCTTAGTGTCCCATTTTTGGGGTCACTTCAGAAAGTCCCCCAGTAAGAGCAGCTGAAACTGTCAGCCCATGTAACAAGAACTGTGCACATAGACTTCTCCGACTGGGGTGGCCCAGAATGGGTGCCAGTCAGGATTACATGCTTGCACAGAAGGTTGGCACACTTAATGGGTATTCCACACCAATGATGCATTATTGCCATACCCCTTCCCTTGGACACTCTCACCCTCTATCCTGCGTCCTCACCTCATATATTAAGTTAAGTTATTTCAGCCTAACATTTGAAATTCACTTTGTATTTATAATTTCGTTATTAACCTTGCATATAATATTTCAAACATTTTCTGTATTTTTTATTTTTTTTTAAATCATATCTTCAGTTGACAACAAAAAAGACATAGACAAAGTAAAACGTTGCAAAGTTGCATTCTCTATGTTACTTTGTATTCTCTGTTTTAAACAGACTTTCTTGTTTTTTTTCTCACAGGTCTAAGCAGTAGCTGTCTCGTAATAATTGACGTGATGGACATAAATGATAACCCGCCTGTATTTCTGGAGAATAAGGTATTTCATAAATACTGAGAAATGGAATTAGGCATGTTGACATTTGAAGAAAAAACAGATAAACATGTTCTAGGTTCTAATGTAATTAATTTATTAGAATAGTCGGTAAAGAGTTTATTCCCTGGATTGAGAAATTTGAAGAATGGACAAGTGGGATTAGACATTTGTAGATAAAATAATACAAACTGAAAAAAGCTTGCTTACTTTAGCTTAACCCCTTAAGGACCAAACTTCTGGAATAAAAGGGAATAATGACATGTCACACATGTCATGTGTCCTTAAGGGGTTGAAGTGGTCTGGGTGCCAGGTCCAGCTAGGGCTAACCCTTTTTTTTTTATAAACATAGCAGTTTCAGAGAAACTATGTTTATAAGAGGGTTAATCCAGCCTCTAGAGCCTCTAGTGGCTGTCTCATTGACAGCTGCTAGAGGCGCTTGCGTGCTTCTCACTGTGAAAATCATGTAAATGCTTTCCTATGAACTGGCTGAATGCGTGTGCAGCTCCTGCTGCGCATGCGCATTCAGCTGATGACGTCGCTATGAAGGAGGAGAGGAGGAGGAGAGTTCCCCGCCCGGCGCTGGAGAAAGGTAAGATTTTAACCCCTTCCTCTCCCCAGAGCCCGGCGTGAGTGGGACCCTGAGGGTGGAAAACGAGTATGTTTTCCTGGCACTATAGTGGTCCTTTAACCCCTTAAGGACACATGCCATGTGTGACATGTCATGATTCCCTTTTATTCCAGAAGCTTGGTCCTTAAGGGGTTAAAGTTAGAGAGTTTTTATAAAACTGTCGATTTGGCCTTGGACTTCTGTTCCCCTTCTTAGTTTGTCACCGTTGGCAGACTAGTGAAGCTCTATATTTGATTGCAGAGATTTATAAAATTTAACTTTAAAGTCCTTAAAAAGGCACTTCGTTCATGGAATGGCCTGCCAGTGGAGGTGGCAAATAAATTAGAGTAGGCACATAAAAATCCCTTTATATAATTTAAATTTGTGCTTATTGTATATTACATTGCCAATTTCCCATGATCCAAAGATTTATTGATAACCGTATAACACCTTATTCTGGTGTTAACCTTAACCTTATACTTAAAGTAAGTTGGACCCAGCAGTAGCAAGAAGCACGACCAAATCTGTGATGTCACAGGAAGACATCACTGCTCAATAAACATCCTGACATTGCTTCTCAAAAGGCCAAGAAACATTGCTTCTAAGAGGGCCAAAAACCTGGTATGTAAATGCAATCATGGATGGATTTGCTGATTCCACAAAACAGTTACAGCTCCCCTCTAAGCGCCTTACTTAGCACTATACCAGGACCTTGTGATTACAGATTATCACTTACTTGCAGTTTATGTTTAAACAATTGTTTTCCATGCTGTTAAATTGCATCATTAAATGGTCATTGAGTGGCCATGTTTCTGTAATGCTCCGCACTGGCTACAAGCTGTGATCTGAGTGGTGACAGTCTGCGGCAACACCTTGTATTGTCCACGGGAGGAATTTAAAGGCCCCCATAGTGCTCATAGTTTTACTGTCCATCAGAACAATGTTTAAAATAGTAGACAATGGTAGAGCATTGCTCTGCAAATTGGTTCTCAACATCTGGGTTTGTAATAGAGTAAGATACGTTGAAGGAGAGCTGCAGAGTTCAGTATTTGGTATATGGGGAGCTGCAGAGTTCAGCATTTAGTGTATGGGGAGCTGCAGAGTTCAGCATTTGGTGTATGGGGAGCTGCAGAGTTCAGTATTTAGTTTATGGGGAACTGCAGAGTTCAGTATTTGGTATATGGGGAGCTGCAGAGTTCAGCATTTAGTGTATGGGGAGCTGCAGAGTTTAGTATTTAGTGTATGGGGAGCTGCAGAGTTCAGTATTTAGTGTATGGGGAGCTGCAGAGTTCAGTATTTAGTGTATGGAGAGCTGCAGAGTTCAATATTTAGTGTATGGGGAGCTGCAGAGTTCAGTATTTAGTGTATGGGGAGCTGCAGAGTTCAGTATTTAGTGTATGGAGAGCTGCAGAGTTCAGTATTTAGTGTATGGGGAGCTGCAGAGTTCAGTATTTAGTGTATGGGGAGCTGCAGAGTTCAGTATTTAGTGTATGGGGAGCTGCAGAGTTCAGTATTTAGTGTATGGGGCTGCAGAGTTCAGTATTTAGCGTATGGGGAGATGCAGAGTTTAGTATTTAGCGTATGGGGAGCTGCAGAGTTCAGTATTTAGTGTATGGGGAGCTGCAGAGTTCAGTATTTAGCGTATGGGGAGCTGCAGAGTTTAGTATTTAGTGTATGGGGAGCTGCAGAGTTTAGTATTTAGCGTATGGGGAGCTGCATAGTTCAGTATTTAGTGTATGGAGAGCTGCAGAGTTTAGTATTTAGCGTATGGGGAGCTGCAGAGTTCAGTATTTAGTGTATGGGGAGCTGCAGAGTTCAGTATTTAGCGTATGGAGAGCTGCAGAGTTCAGTATTTAGTGTATGGGGAGCTGCAGAGTTCAGTATTTAGTGTATGGAGAGCTGCAGAGTTCAATATTTAGTGTATGGGGAGCTGCAGAGTTCAGTATTTAGCGTATGGGGAGCTGCAGAGTTCAGTATTTAGTGTACGGGAGCTGCAGAGTTCAGTATTTAGCGTATGGGGCTGCAGAGTTCAGTATTTAGTGTATGGGGAGATGCAGAGTTTAGTATTTAGCGTATGGGGAGCTGCAGAGTTCAGTATTTAGGGTATGGGGAGCTGCAGAGTTTAGTATTTAGTGTATGGGGAGCTGCAGAGTTTAGTACTGCAGAGTTCAGTATTTAGTGTATGGGGAGCTGCAGAGTTCAGTATTTAGTATGGAGAGCTGCAGAGTTCAGTATTTAGTGTATGGGGAGCTGCAGAGTTCAGTATTTAGTGTATGGGGAGCTGCAGAGTTCAATATTTAGTGTATGGGGAGCTGCAGAGTTCAGTATTTAGCGTACGGGGAGCTGCAGAGTTCAGTATTTAGTGTATGGAGAGCTGCAGAGTTCAGTATTTAGTGTATGGGGAGCTGCAGAGTTCAGTATTTAGTGAATGGAGAGCTGCAGAGTTCAGTATTTAGTGTATGGGGAGCTGCAGAGTTTAGTATTTAGTGTATGGAGAGCTGCAGAGTTCAGTATTTAGTGTATGAGGAGCTGCAGAGTTCAGTATTTAGTGTATAGGGAGCTGTAGAGTTCAGTATTTAGTGTATGGGGAGCTGCAGAGTTTAGTATTTAGTGTATGGGGAGCTGCAGAGTTCAGTATTTAGTGTATGGGGAGCTGCAAAGCTCAGTATTTAAGACGTGAGGGCTGCAGGGTTTGCTATTTAGTCCACGGGAACCTGCAAGGTTCAGTATCTAGTCTTTTTAATGTGCATATGTGTATATGCGCACATTTTGCTATTTACAATAAAATTCAGTTGTATATCACAAATATTGCCATATTGCCCAAAAGGTGCAGAAGATATTCAGTTTATCGTATTCATCACAGCAATTAAATGAACTGCCACAGTGATCCCTTAATGACATTTTGTTGCTGTTTTGTATTGTATTCTATCAGTTTGCACCCTTTATTATACCGGAGGACACAGAGCCCGGCGTGATCATCGCTATTCTGACAGCTACGGACGAAGATCATCTGCCTGTTAATAGATTGATAGACTTTTACGTACAATCTGGAAATGAAGATGGCACCTTCAGAATATTGACCGATCAAGAAAGTAACACTATATCTGTCTTTCTTGACAAGGTAATTTTCTGAAATCACATGGTAACCTGCCTTTTCCTTCAAGCTTCTTTTATTTATCATGTATCTAGTAAGGGCTCCGAGCACACTATAGAGTTTATGTTCCGGGTGCAATAGAGGCCTGCAATACGCTATATAGCACAGATGCCTAGATTCTAGACTATTTCTGCTTTAGCAAATAATCCTGTTACTGTTTGTGCGTATTATGCAAATATATTTGTTCTTTCTGTTGGCGTTTTAAACACTATAGCACACTATATTTAAGCTTAATACAAGTTTGTTCATTTATATACTTCCCATTTACTAGCAGTACATACAAATGTATTTGTTAAAATCTGGTGACGGTGTATATCTGGTTATTTGCTAATGTGATGATTCCAAATGATTATTATTATTATTATGATATTTATAGAGCGCCGTCAAATTCTGCAGTGCTTTACAATGGGTGGACGAACAGACATGTAGTTGTAACCAGACAAGTTGGACACACAGGAACAGAGGGGTTGAGGGCCCTGCTCAATTAGCTTACATGCTAGAGGCAGTGGGGTAAAATGACACAAAAAGGTAAGGATAGTATTAGACTAATGACAGTTGCAGAAGAGGAATCAGTCAGGAGCTATTAACAGTTTAATGGATACGCTTTTATGAAGAAGTGGGTTTTTAACGATTTTTTGTTGGAGTGGAGACTGGGTGAACATCTAACGGAGGAGGGAAGCGACTTCCACAGGAACAGGTGCAGCCCTCGAGAAATCTTGAAGGCGAGCATCAGAGGTTGTCATGATGGCAACGTGACTTTTTTTTTTTTAAATAGCTGAATTTGGAAAATTCTCTCACTCAGTTATGACCACTTTGGCTTTAAACTTGAAATTCACATTAAATTCACTTGGAATTTTCACTATTGTGAATAACCCTGAATGTCTTATGCCGGCCTATTCACACAGAGCTTGCAGGGGTGTTTTTTATCACACATTCCCAAAAGGAGAGTGTTTCTTTATTTTTATGTAATTTTTGTCACACCTACGATATTTGGTATAATCTTTAAAACTTTATGTCATCACACTTTCCTGTAAAAGATGAACAAAGTTATGAAAAATTAAGTCCATGTAAATTTATGGAAAAATTACTTTTTTAGGCCTCTTTGAATAGTAATTAATGTTTGTGCCATGTATCTACATTGTACATTGTTATTTTCAATTTAAAGGGTTACTCCAAGCATCAGGATCACTTCAGTGATTTTAAGTGGTTATGGTATCTGGAGTCTGTATATGCAGTTGACTGTTAGCTCTTCTTCCAAAGTGTGTCCTTTGGTAACGAATGTACTGCACGTTAACGAATGTACTGCACAAGTGATCTTTTTGGATGCCATGCTTGAATGATCAAATCACTCTAGGTGGGGATTACCCCTCCTCCTGCGCCGTGCCACCCAGAACTGTCTGTGCTAAATTACATGTATGTAAGTTTTAGCCTGAACCTGTAACACAAAAAAAAAAAAATATATATATATATATATAATATCTGACTGCTGATAGAGACACTAGAAGTGCTTCCGCTTCCAACTGGAATACTACAGAAATCCTGAATTCTCTGCGACTACGGAGAGTGACGCAATAAAAGTAGCACTTGTATAAAATAAACAGGATGTGTTTCAATATCTTAATAAAATGAAAGGCTGGAGAAAGCATTTTACACTCCCAGCTTCGTAGAAAGTGTCTGCAAATTGATCACCACAAGAAACCTGTTTTTTAGCTGCCCATTAGCCACTGAGTCAGACCACGTCACCTGACCTTTAACACGGACATCGGGCTGCGTGACGCGTGTACCCATCGCACTGAGTATCAATAATGAATGTGCTTTTATTCCCGCACACGAAGAAGTCACTTAGTTTAACCCTTTGTGTAGGTGGTCAATATGTAAATAAATAGGACAAAGAAAGGCAGATTAGACATTTCACACATTTACCTGAATTTTTATAACATTCTTATTTAATCTGAACTGAAAGTGAAGTGTTATTTTTTTTCTTTAAATGAGATATCAGAATGTTTTAGAACATTTTGTTACACTATAACATGTTTATGGTTTTTGCAAAGTTTGAAGGAGCATTGCAGACTGCTGTTGACCACCATATTTTATGAATTGTATATATGTAATAGAATAAAGGACTAAAAATAAAATAAAATACATGTAGTTCCAGGTGTTTGCTGCATATACTCAGATTTGCAGCAGCTGCGGTGAGTTTGTCCAAGGACAGGAGACAATTGACAAACTCTTTCTGTTTTTGATTGATAATGATGTTATTGTGAGGAACTGATACCTCAGATATTCCAGGAGACATAGACATACCTCAACATTTCACATGGATAAAGAGGGCACTTTAATTTTAGGGGTATGAGTGGGGTGTGGCCAGGGGCAGGGCTGTTCTGAGAAATTTTAGGTGATTTAGTAATACTTTCTAAAACTAAAATGTATATTTTAATAGTATTCTAAACACATTTATTGTAGTTTAAAGACACATTGCTGGGAGTATTATTGTTTATAACTGCTATACACTCAGACACACCAACAATATGAAGCTCCTAGAAAAGAGTGACATTAGCATAGAAAAGAGGAACAGAGGGATTTGGGCCCTAAATAGGGACTGTCCATCCTACATAGGGACACTTGGGAGGTATGCATAGTTCTGTTACATGCTTATATGCTTATAATGGAAATACACTGAATACCTAGTCCTACTGCACTGTACCTCCTCTACCGTAATGTAAAGTGCTAAATTTACCTGGTAGAGCTGTATAAATAAAATATACACACACTGTATACCTACTATACGTACATTATATCCCCTATTATTAAATTGCTCATCCCCACGTGCCCTGCCTGTCTACGGGTTAAATAAATGAGTCATGAGTTCAGTGCACGAAAAGTTCAGCACTATAATTTATTTTAGGCAGAGGGCTGCTTAGCAACACACAAAATATAAGCAATGTACTTATCAAAAGGTAGGGGAGAGTGTCAGCTAAGTACATGGGTTAACCAAACACAGTGAATCTATCCAGAGAGGTCTGTAAAGGAATCTGGCGTCAATATGCGCCCCTCAAATTCTAAAGGTCTACTCTCACCCTTACTCCCTTCTTTCCTCCCTTGCCTACCCTGTCTCCATAGTCCATTTCTATCTTCCTGCCAGGTATATCTCTCTCCAATCACCCCAAAAATATTTGTTCTTCTTGCCAAAACACCCCCCAAATGTGCTCTCCTACCCCACATTGCCTTCTTTTGGATCAACAGCAAAAACACTTGTTTTCTACTCAAACAACCAAAAATCTCCCGTACTTTACAAACCACGGCATGTACCTATTGTTTTAAAAGCACAGCTTGTTAAATCTGCGTATTGCTAAAGTACCTTGATTAAAATTATACAGCTGCCCCTCTCAGTTGGGTACAGTGGCATCCCAACAACAATTTATTTGGAATTTCCCCTTCCAACCCTCAAATGGTTACGTTATTCCTTTTTCTTTAGAAATTCAATGCATTTTTTTATTTCTGAGTGAAACCTTGATTGAATTACTGTAATTTTGCCATTTCGACAGAAGTTTTTTTTTAATTCTTTTCTGGCTTTCTTCGTTATAAAATCATTGAATCTCCTCCTGGTATTTCTCGTCCCCCTACCGGTGTCGCGAAGTGCAACGGGTTTTCAGATGTTTTGTGAACGCTTCCATCTTGGTAAGGGGCCTAGCTGTTGGGCCCCCCGCTGTACTAAATTGGCACTTGGGAGAGGTGAGGGGGCGGATAGGTTAATCCTGGGGTAAAGTGGAGGCGTTTAGTAAAATGCTGTACTTTGTCAGGTTTACTAGATGTGAAAGAGCCCTGCCACATCGATTTATTGAATAGAATTCGGAATAAATGTACGCTTTTCATTAGAAAGCTTTTTAGTGGAAGCACAGTGGGTTAATACATCAGGGGTTTTTTTGACAAGCAAGCTTAATAGGAATTTAAATGCTGACATTTTCCCACGCAATGGAGCGAAAACACAAAGGCAGATTTTTATACTATGGGGATTTGCAATAATTAGAAGCTTCTAGATTTCACATTTTTAACCCTTGCAGTTGAGATATGACATCTAGGGTTGTAAGATTTACTAAGTCTCCTTGGACACACATCGCTTGCACTCATTGATCGTTTTCATGTGCCCTCCTTGTGGTATGTAGAATTCCAGTGCTGCATGTGGGAAGTCAATTCATCAGAAAGGAATCTTGCAGCATACGATGTCAGCATGACTACTTGTGACAAATTGTATATAGATATTGCACTCTATCATCCTGAAATCCCCTGCCTTTGCGTAAAGGTCATTTTGCTTTAAAGGAACACTCCACTGCCCAAGTAAAATTAATAAATAAAAATCACTGTTTAGTAGCTTTGCCCCTAATGAAAACAATTATGCATTTTGTTTCATTGGAGTTATATCTAAAAACAGCTTTTAAAACCTGCAGATCTCTTGTCTGTTGCCTTTGCAAGCCACCCCTTCTAACCACGCCCAGCCTTTCTATGACTGTCCAATCACAGACTTCCCAATGCAGCTTCATGAGAAGTCTTTGCAAGGCAGGTGCTCTGAGCAATTGCTGCCTCTTGAGTTTAGTGCAAATCAGCTAACCAAACCAGGAAGTAACAGGACCAGTTGTCTGACTGACAGCCGGGGATATATGATCTGACATTTTTTTTAAATCGTTATTAATTTATTTAGTGGCTACTTAATTTATATCCTATGGTTTTCTGTACTTTTTCATTTTAGTTTTTATACAGTGCAGTAATAGTAAGAGTTTGTAATAATCCTGAAAATGAATTTATTAAGATTCCCGCTCCCGTGCGGTTATAAGATTTAGATGTATTGGGTAGCCACACGTATTTTAATATTTAGAAAGGCATTTCCTTTCTTTTATGACTGCTCTGATGGAGGGATTCCTTTCTTTCAGGTACTTGATTACGAGAAAAAACAAGAATACGACTTGATCTTCCTTGCCAAGAACACAGCTGAACTTTTTGGAACAGAATATGGTGCAAGTTCCACTGCAACTGTTCACGTCACAGTGCAAAATGTAAATGAGCCGCCGGTATTTGACCAACACAAATATGAAGTCCAAATCCTGGAAAGTACTCAGTCGGGTTCGGTGATACTCACTGCTGAGGCCAAGGATCCAGACATACTTCACCCAGCCAAGCTGCAGTAAGTAGGATACTGATAATGATGGTGCGCAGTTTGGGTTATGCTCTTGTCATTTCACTGCAAGGTTTGGGAATGTCCCATAATGATCAGTTATATGGCTAGCTGAGCATTATGGGACATTCCCAAACCTTGCAGTGAGCTCTCGCCAAAACAAACAGAAAGCAAACAGCTGAACTACAACTCCCAGAATCCCAGGTCACGACAACATATAAAACAGTATTTTTGGAGGGAAACATTGGAAGTTGGGATAAAGAGGGAGACAGGGTGGGCTCATGGCTCGAAACTAATATTAAATAAATGATAATATAAAGAAGAAATAAAATCCACTCAGCAGAACTAACTAAACAACATAACCTACAGAATGCACCTTTCATCCCTATCATGAGCAGATGGTGAGGGTGGTTTCAGGTTTTTAAGGGCCCTGAAAGGTTGGGTCAACCCATTTGTGTTACCTTATTGCAGTATTTCACAATTGGGGTTCTGCGGAACCCTAGGGTTCCACGAGTACAAAATTGGGGTTCCTCAGTGATTTGCCCCGATGGGCATTGCTGCAAAGGGACCCAGTCAGCACCGCGGCTGATTAATTGCGCAACCGGGTCCCCGTGGTATGGGATGCTAAGAGGAATTGACGGACAGACAGTCATTTCCTCCCAGCTTCATGTAGAAAATGCCGCGCTGGAGGGAGATAGGCAGCAGCCGGCAGTGAGCAGCTCCCCCCACACACACCAGCCTCAGCCAGCAAGTCACCCTCCTGCAGACAACACGTATGCTAATAGGAGGGTGACAGCAAATATAAAAAATATCATGTGTGTGTATTTTACAGTGTGTGTATTAATGTGTCACTGTGTGTATCTGAGTGTTTGCATCTGTGTGTCAGTGTTTGTGTCACTGTATGTATCTTAGTGTGTGTATATGCCATTGTGTATCTGTGTGTATGTGTCACTGTATTTACCTGTGTCAGTGTGTATCTGAGTGTATGTGCCATTGTCACTGTGTCACTATGTGTATGTGTCACTGTGTGTATCTGAGTGTGTGTACTAATGTGTCACTGTATGTATCTGAGTATTTGTATCTGTGTGTCACTGTTTGTGTCACTGTGTGTATCTAAGTGTGTGTATGTGCCATTGTGTATCTGTATGTATCTGAGTGTCACTGTGTTTACCTGTGTCAGTGTGTATATGAGTGTATGCGCCAGTGTGTATCTGAGTGTCACTGTGTGTATCTTTCAGTGTGTGTGTGTGTATAGGTGTGTGTGTGTGTATGTGCCAATGTGTGTGTGTAGCAGTGTGTGTATGTGCCTGTGTGTGTATCTTTCAGTGTATCTGTGTGTTGGTGTGCGTGTATCTGAGTGTGTGTATCTGTGTGTCAGTGTGTCTGTGCATCTATGTGCCAGTGTGTGCCAGTGTGTGTATATGTGTGTCAGGTTCACACACTGACACAAAGATACGCACACTGGCACATACAAACACAGATACACACACCTTGATACACAGACACACACCGGCACATACAAACACAGATACACACACTTTGACACAGACACCTTGACACACAGATACATACACACACACACACACACAGATGCACACTGTGTGTCAAGGTGTGTGTATCTGTGTGTTAAGGTGTGTGTATCTGTGTGCCAGTGTGTGTGTATCTGTGTGTCAGATACACACACACACACACACACAGATACACAATGACACACAGACACACATTGATGCACAGATACACACACGGACACATACAAAGAAAGATAAACACCTTGACACACAGCCACACACCGGCACATACAAAAAAAAAGGGGGGGGTGGGTTGGGGGGGGGGCGGATTCCACGATGTTGATATTCTATGTCAAAGGGTTACATGGGAAACATTTATTGGGAACCCCTGCCTTATTGCATCCCTCTACCAACATGCACGTTCATGGTCCATACTTGTAGAGCTGCAAACCCCTAAACATCTGTAAGGATGCATTGAGCGATGGTTTCCTTAGCACGCCCACCATGGCTATTTGGAGTTCTGTAGGCTCCCTGTTCATCTGTTAATTAGGGAAAGTATAGTGGCCTCATCTACTAATAACAGACAGATTTTGATATTGCTTATTATTTATATTATTGTGTTTAATTCCGTACTGAAGCAGACAGTTGCCGGTAAATGACAGTCCCTTGTTCTCTCGCCCCGGAGATTTACTGAGTTGAATTCTGTTGCAGAGGGATGTACAAACCATGCTTGCTTTCCCTGCCATTCCATGTTCATTGCCCCATGATGCTCCAGAAATGTTCAAGCTTGCTCAGGCGCCTGTACAGAGATTCTACACCAGTGCAGGCGCACTCTGCCATCCCTTGCATAGTGCTCTATGTGCACATGGTTCTGGAGGGGTTTATTTGATTTACATGGCATTCCCTGATTGTATTTGGGCAGCAAGAGACGACATGCCATATAAAAAAATGGAAAACTCTTTTAACTGGCTCTTTTGCGCCTTTTAAATTTGCGCTTAGCGGCTGGAGCATGTTTGTACAGACACAAGATCGATGGCAATTTTATATTACTGAGTCCTTATATTTATTTTTTGCCAATGTTGCACACTAAATCCTGCCCTTCGCCTTTCAACTATTATCCTTTCTCCAGATCTTTCAGTCCCATAAAAACATGCACGGCTATACTAACAGACTTTATAACCATAGACTTATTATACCTACATGTGTTACACCTCAATTAATCCTTGCTGACTTGGATAGATCTCTAAATGTATCCGTGCAATACAAACGTTTATTCTTGATGTTATGCAGGGAGACAAAGAGACCGTCATTGATTCGACTACAAAAGATAATTCTTTTTAAAGACAGTCTGTTTTATCCCTGGCTAACCTCTACAGTTAGAATGTATTCGGCTCTGCTCGTAACACTTTGAGATCAATGCATTGGGACTCAAAGGGTTAACATACCAACTCCCTGTATTTAAGACTCATTCACAAAAAAAAGCCCCGTCACCTCTCCGAGACATTTCTATTACGTATGTACTAATGTTAAAGCCAGCGGCATCAGCAGGGAGACGGTTTGTGTTCTTTTCAGAGCGATGGCTGAATGCCAAGGCACAAACAGAAGAAGAACAATCGATAGAGTCATGAACGGACAACACTTGATGATTTTATGTCTGTGCAAAATGGGAAAGTCGATAGATTATCAGATAAGGTCTGGGGATAATTCAAATCCTATTTAGTGAGTTCTCCAGACTGTTGGTGTTGCTGTAACTGTATGTGGAGTTGATTTCGCCATTAGTATCAGTTAATGTCTGATTAAACCACCAGGATGAGCCCAGGCGATATTAATTTCAATATCACTTCACGGAATAAGAATTGGTTACTTCCTTTATAATTATATGGAAAGTTATATATAGCCCATTGATATGGGCCCGCCTGGGACCGTAAGAACATTATGTTCTTGTACTCTGACACTAGCTTAGTGTTGTAGCGTCCAAATGTTTCTTTTATAATGGGGACTTTTGTTCTTGGGAAGAGAAAGTAATAAAAAAATTTAAAAAAGGGGAAAAAATATATACTTGTAAAGTGGACAATTCTCTCCAAACACCATAACAACTTAGCATCATTGCAAAGGGTATGAAGCAGAGAGTACCCTAGAGAGAGAGACAAGGTGTTGTTCGGCTGGCACTCAGGGGTTCTCTACACACAGTCCGCTTCACAATACTGAAGTTTATAAATTGATAGCAGTCACACATCCCCATAGAACAGATTAAGAAGCTTACGACTGGTGTCTTATTTTCCTGTCCAGAAAGTGGGGCTACTTGCAGGTGCAGAGAGCCTCTTCCAGCTGTGATCCTGCAGGAAAGTTGATTTATTCACATTTTTAAAACATCACTATGAAAGCCCAGAGAGGCCATGTATTTTTAATATTTTTCTTACACGTTATGACAACTTGTTATCTCGTGAGAATTACTTGTTTTTTCAAGATAACAAGTTGTTTTTTTTACATGGCCTCTCTGGGCTTCTGAACATTACCAATATAGTGCATTAACATAGAAGGCCATGGTTGTCTGTTGTTTCCTTTTAAGAAGTAATATTTTGTAATGGCTTGCATTTCTCCTGAAACATTTTATTGGGGTTTAAAAAAAGAGAGTAGTGGGTGCCGGATTACACAATCAAACACCCCAAATAGACTTTATCATATTAAAAGAAATTTAAAGATAAATGGGGAAATTAACAGTGTCATCAAACAAAACAGTCAATTAGGACTGTTTGATATGGTCTTTTCCGTGTGAAGGTTTATATTGAATCCCTACTAATAAACTAGTTAATTAAAACGTAAAACAGTGGCCAAGTCACAGAATCCTTAAGAGTGCCCCATCCCTCCCCATCATGCAAATCAAATTGGAGATCTTAAAGTATATCCGTTACTATATTGAAATGTTTGGCGAACAAAAGTTATGGGTGTCTAAGTATTGTATGTGGGGTTTATTGAGAAACCTTGCGTTCCTTATGTAAACAGATATGCTTACTTAGTTTGGCATAGCACCAGGGTTATCAGACATAATCTAGCCATGAAGAATGGCCTTCATTCTAGAGTTTCTTGGCGCAATGTGATGGAAAATATCAAAGATGGACAGCTTCAGTGACACGGCATTGCAGTTTTATTACAAATTCACATGCCAGGGCTCCTCAAGTCACTTACGAGGATCACATTTGAAACAATTAGTTAATTGACTGCTTTCTGAGCAGCCCCACCGTATTTGGGGTTATCAAACGCAGAGTGGAATATATTCTAGATAAAATACATATACCCTGGGACTTTGATAATTAAACAAAAAAAAATTTCTTGCACTTTAATCTCCACATATGGGCACAGGGGCAGTGTTCCCTGTAAGCATATATCTGTGACTAGTCCAGCATGTATGCTGCTGAGAAGACGGTCTTTATAACAAACACATCTGATGACTCTTTTAAACTTCCTTGAAGGACACGTGCAGAGCAAGCCTTTATTAAAACCACTGAAAGCCATAATGCTATATTTATAGGTGAAGCATATCATTTTACAAACATTTTATAAACAAAAAAAGAAAGGAATACCGTACACTTATTAAAATCCTGGTGCAACCAGACCTGGGGTTGGCTACCCCTCCTGTGATAGTTGAACAAACATTGTAGTCCAGGCACTCAAGGATCAGTTCAGCAGGTTTATTGGAACAGAGTGCAACGTTTCGACCCCACAAGGGATCTTTCTCAAGCTCAGAGATTGAAACGTTGCAATCTGTTCCAATAAACCTGCTGAATTGATTGCCTGGACTACAATTTTTGTTCAACTTTACAAACATTTCAAGCAGGTAAGTGTTACAATATGTTACTCGCCCACTCAGAGGAGTGGGGGGCGGGGCAGTCACCTAAACAGACACACTCACTGACAGGCACACACACACTTGCTGATTTGACACACACTAACAAACACACACTCACTGACAGGCACACACGCACACACACTGACACTGTTACAGGCATACTGACACACACACACAGGCATACTGGCTGACAAACACACACACACACACACACACACACACAAACTGGCACACACAGATATACTAACACACATAAAGAGACATACTGACACACACAGACATACACACACACACACAAACGTTACACTTTTAAAGCCAGTAGACAGGGGCTGAGCAAGGGGACAGGACTGTAGTGGGGGGTATGAGCTGTAGTTAGGGGTTAGGAAATGTAGTGGGGGGATAGGGGCTGAAGTAGGTTGATGGCTACAATTTGGGAAAGGGGTTGTGGTGTGAGTGATATGGGTTGCAATTGGGGGAGAGGAGCGTAGTGGGGATGTTGTGAGGGCTGTGGTGGGGGGGCATGGGGCTGAGGGAGGGGAACATGGGCTGAGGAAAGGAGAACATGGGCTGAGGGAGGGGGACAGGGGCAGAGGAAAGGGGAACATGGGCTGAGGAAAGGAGAACATGGGTTAGGGAGGGGAACAGGGGCCGAGGAAAGGAGAACATGGGTGAGGGAGGGGGACAGGGGCCGAGGAAAGGGGAACATGGGCTAAGGAAAGGAAAACACGGGCTGAGGGAGGGGACAGGGGCTGAGGAAAGGGGAACATGGGCTGAGGGAGGGGGACAGGGGCCGAGGAAAGGAGAACATGGGCTGAGGGAGGGGGAACATGGGCTGAGGGAGGGAACACTGGGGCTGAGGAAAGGGGAACATGGGCTGAGGGAGGGGGAACATGGGCTGAGGGAGGGGGCAGGGGCTGAGGATGGGGACAGAGGCTGAGGAGGGGGATAAAAACAAAACTAAAGTGTCTTCCCCCCTCCCTGAGTCTTACATTAGACCAGGGAGGGGTGGGCAGGAGCTAGGAGCCTGCATCCAGCAGCCAGTGAAGTCGGCCTCTCCTGATGATGTCAGGAGGAGGGGGCGTGACTTCCTCTGCTCTTCTCCCAGACTCCGCAGCTGACATCATCAGGAGAGGCCGGCCGACTTCCCTATCTGCAAGGAGAAAGAGGTCCCAGCCAGAGGCAGGGCCAGAGTCAGAGGCAGGGGATTCAGATTTTTCTTTTTTTTTTCTGGATTTAAGGCGGCCTGGGGGGAATTGCCCCCGGCCCACTCTGGAAAGCAAACAATCTAAGTGTTTTTGTTTTGTTTTTTTAATGTAAATAAATTTGTTTCCCCTAATGTTCCCTACACAGCTACAGCATCAAGAATGATTCTAGAAAATGGCTTTCTGTCAAAGAGCATTCTGGGAAGATCCACCTGCTCCATGCTATAGACAGAGAGGTGTCAGATGAGACATACACTGTACAGGTTGTGGTGACAGAGGAAGGTATGTTACACATGTGGTAAAGCTCATCATTTATTTTGTATCCTCAGTTAAATGTACTATTTACAGTGTCACAATGATGAACCAAAGGAAGGTATAAAAAAAACACATGCAACCAATCTTAAATGCATGATGTTTTACTGTAACACATATACTTTTATCTTGGCTTAATGAGATTTTTGGTTTATGGAGAAATAGAGGGCTTAGTGTAAAAAGGAGACACTGAAAATGCATATATTTTTGTAATGCATATAATTATTTGTCTCAAAAAAATGTACGTTTGCTAAATTTGCACAAATATTTCCTAATACCTAAAACTTTAGCTTTTTTTTTTAGCTGCAGAAACCGACCACTACCACTAGTAAATATCCATTCCCTTTTGTTCAGACGTTCATTCCTTGTAGTAAGGCAACTTTTTGTGCCCAATGACGGGACATAAATTCAGAGTGTTTTGGGGGGGTTTTCACTCTGATTTCTGCATATAAAACGGGTAGAGCTCGAAAAGAGTTGGGCAGCAGGAACTTTGACACTGTGTGAAACTCATCTAGCCAAAGGCAACTCATCCAAGGCATCTGGAATTAGTATTCTGTGTATGCTGCCACAAAAATTGCACAAAACTGATATTGCAAGCCAGGAAGAGAGTCATCTAGGCAAGTGATTGACAGCTCAGGGAGGAGGTCCTACACATAGGAAAAATGCTATTTATCTCTGCAGTTTAGCTTTTTTTAAGGCTTAATGGATAGGATCTATGCAACAAAATCACTTCTGCAAGATGAAGTGATTTATGGTGCTCTAGAGTAACCCTTTACGTCTGTATGGAGCTGCAGAGTTAATTCATTGAAGAATGGTAGGTTTCAAGGTTCTGTTAGTGGAGAACTGGAAGAGTGAGACTCTGGAGAGATGCATAGTCCAGTGTTTAGTCAATGGGGGGCTTCAGATTTCAGTGTTTAGTCAATGATCAACTGCGAAGCTCAGTGTTCAGTCATGCGAGAGCTGCGGGGTTCAGTGTCCAGTCTGTGAAAAGGTGCAAGTTTCAGTGTTCAGTCTATGTAGAGCTGCAGGGATCAATCTGCAGAGAGCTGCAGGGTTTAGCATTCAGTCTGAATAGAGCTACAGAGTTCTAGCTAGTAGCTAACAGATGCCTGTCTTGTGCTATCTCACCATTTTTAGTACATGTGCATCATTCATTTAATGCAGTTATACAAAAAATAGGAAGTCTATTTTTGAGGAGCTATGTGTGAGTCACTCCTTGACCTGCACCTTCATGATTTTCAGAAATAAAGACTTAGCGTTAACTCTCCAACATCCAGTGAAGTCTAAAAAGCATTGCTGAAGTGTGTATTACTGAACGAGCATGCCTGGAAAGGGTTAAGTTATATATTGTCTGTAATTTGTGCAATCAAGCAGGGGTTAGTGCCCTAAAATCATTTTAAGTGTATCTTCTGATTATTTGTCCTTGCTGCTGCTGGAGATGAGTCACAGGTTACAGATGATGTCAGATCATTCAGAGACCACTCATTTAAACGATGTTTTTAAAAAAATATATATTTTCATTCAATACCTTGGTCGTGAGCGACAGTAAGCTGTTTTTTTTTTATAGTGAATGGAGAGATATAGCATTAGACTTGCCGATAGCCGAAAATAACAGGAACCAATTGAGTCATCTCCAACTTTGTACTTTCCCCAACTGCCTGATTGAAATTCCGGAAATCTATTGTGACTACCCCATCCTCCTGCATTGTAGTGGTTATGGTATTTGGAATGTTTATTTCATTTTAGATATATTAACCCACCTAAATACAACAGATTGTTGTGCAGTATAACAAATAATAGAAAGTAGGATAAGTGCTAAAAGGCAACTATACGTAGAACTGTAAGCAGGTAGCAAACATTGGTAGTAAGGGATACCCTCACCTCCTTACTGATTAATATAAAGCAAGATAATACAAAATATATGTACAGGTTGCACCAAAATAAAAAGACCAATAGAATATCAGGTGCTTGGAGTATTCTTTACTTGTAAATTGTCCAGGCTTCTGATGGTGGCAGGTATATGTAATAAGGCAGAAAGATAACTGGTAATGGTGCAGAGTATCTAGTACCAAGTGCAGAACAAACAACAAAGAGGTCTGTGTTGTAGGACTCACATTTAGTAGAGCTAAAAAGAGCTAAAAAAAACAGCTCTGAGTATAACAGCATGCAGCGGTACAATTCCCACTGACGGATATGTTGCTCTAGGAGTCAGTCACTCGGCATGTAGGTGGATATATACAAAGATACAAAAGGTAAAAAGTAGTGCTATCTGTAAAACTGTATATTAATAATTATAAAGGGAAAAGTAATCGACTCACATCTGATGGAACAATATACACTTGCTCAAGTATTAACTCTTGGGTGATACAATCCCCACCAGGGATATAATATAGAGCAGTTCCTCCAAAGTGTAATTCTTGACAGGATACAGGTAGCAGGTAGATATAATCAGGGCTGATGCAAGAATATCTGTCACCATAAGCAAATAACTATTTTGCCGCCTCCTCATGTCACTCACTCACTGACAGACACACACACTGACAGACATTCACTGACATACACACACAGGCAGACACTCACTGACAGACAGACACACACACACACTGACATACATACACTCACTCACTGACACACACACACACACACATTTACTGACACACACACAGACACCTACTAACAGACATACAGTCACTCACTGTCATGACGCGGCTCTCTGACACTACTTAGAGAGACCGCGCCAAAGACAATCCGCTTGGTGATTTTGGGACCTACTTCCGGGTATAGATGCCGGCTCCACAAGCTCTCTCACATGCTTCCTAAACCTTTGACTTAGTAAACGGATTATGCTTCTTCCACTAGAGGATTACTGGAGAACGGACACTTTACCATTTATCAAGTGGAATCTAATACTGATCTCTTGGAGGACAACTCACATTAATCTTAAGTATAACTTCCAATCTATTTTCTGCAATCAGTTATTAATGAACTGTTATTTGCTTGCTCAAATCTTCTCTGCTGCAAACTACTAATTATACTGAGGATAACTCCCATCAAGCTTAACCACTATGAACTGTTTCTTGCTTTGCAATTATCCTCTGCTATCTGTATACTAATTCTATTGAAGATTATTCCTATTAACCCAAGAATATTATTTCTGAGGAAATACTTATTAATGAACTTTGTATTGTCTGCTATAACCACCAATTTCTTCTAATTGAATTATTACCTATATGCTATTCACTTAAGTTTATCACAATCATTAAAACTTTGTTTGATTCTCTAATTGCCGGCAAGCCTCTCTTTTCTTAAAGCTACAGTATTGATAATTTAAAGATTCTCCGTTTCATTACTATTGTAATTAAGGAGTTCTACAAGCTGCAGTTGAGTTCCAATTCTAAAAAACAATTGTAGCATAACACTAACTGACAGACACACAAACCTACACTCACTGACTGACACACAGAAACTTACTCGCTGGCAGACATTCACTCACACTCACACTCACACACAAAGACACTCACACAGACATACACTCACTCACTCACTGACAGACACACACACTGACAGACATTCACTGACATACACACACAGGCAGACACTCACTGACAGACAGACACACACACACACTGACATACATACACTCACTCACTGACAGACACACACACACACACAGGCAGACACTCACTGACAGACACACTCACTGACAGTCAGGGCCGTCTTTAACGCGGGGCAAACGGGGCAGCTGCCCCGGGCCCAGTTTCTCTTGGGGGGCCCGAGGCACCTGCCCCGTGGGCCCCGCTGACCCGGGCGGGCGGGTGGCCGGTCGGGCAGGAAGGCGGGCGCGCGAGGGAGCACTCAGTGCTTCCTCTTCAGCTCCCTCGCGCACCGCACTGATGCCGGAGCCGGAAGATGACGTCATCTTCCGGCACCGGCATCCCTACGCGGCGCGCTAGAGGGAGCTGAAGAGGAAGCACATGGGGGAAAGTGCTCCCTCGCGCGCCTGCCGCCCAGACAGCCCGCCCACCCAGTGACCTGCCGCCCAGTAGCCCAGCAGCACCACCACTGGACCCCAGAGAATCCCCCCAGCACTCCAAAAGGTAAGGAGGCTGGGGGGATTAAATTTGAAAAAAAAAAATGTGTGTTTGTGTGTATGTGTGTGTTAGTGTATGTGTGTTTGTGTGTTTGTGTATGTGTGTGTGTGTGTTTGTTTGTGTGTGTTAGTGTTTGTGTGTTAGGGTATGTGTGTGTTTGTGTGTGTTAGTGTGTGTGTGTTTGTGTGTGTTAGTGTATGTGTTTGTGTGTTAGTGTATGTGTGTGTTAGTGTATGTATGTGTGTGTATGTATGTGTGTGTTTATGTGTGTTAGTGTGTGTGTTTGTGTGTTTGTTTGTGTATGTGTGTGTTAGTGTGTGTGTGTTTGTGTGTTAGTGTATGTGTATGTGTGTGTTTGTTTGTGTGTGTTAGTGTTTGTGTGTTAGTGTATGTGTGTGTGTTTGTGTGTGTTAGTGTGTGTGTGTTTGTGTGTGTTAGTGTGTGTGTTAGTGTATGTGTGTGTTAGTGTATGTATGTGTGTGTATGTATGTGTGTGTTTATGTGTGTTAGTGTGTGTGTTTGTGTGTTAGTGTATGTGTGTTAGTGTGTGTGTTTGTGTATGTGTGTTAGTGTGTGTGTATGTGTGTGTTAGTGTATGTGTGTTAGTGTATGTGTGTTAGTGTGTGTGTTTGTGTGTTAGTGTATCTGTGTGTTAGTGTATCTGTGTGTTAGTGTATGTGTGTGTGTCAGCATGTCTGTGTGTGTGTCAGCATGTCTGTGTGTGTGTGTCAGTATGTCTGTCTGTCTATGTGTCAGTATATATGTGTGTGTATATCTGTGTGTGTCGGTATGTGTATGTGTCAGTATGTCTGTCAGTGCGTCAGTATGTCTGTTAGTGCATGTGTATGCATGTGTCAGTATATCTGTCTGTGTGCCAGTATGTCTGTGTGTGTGTGTGTCAGTATATCAGTCTGTGTGTGTCAGTGTATGTGCCTGTGTGTGTGTCAGTATTTCTCAGTGTATGTGGGTGTCAGTATATCTGTCAGTGTGTGGGTGTCAGTATTTCTGTCAGTGTATGTGTGTCAGTATGTTGATCAGTGTATGTGTCTGTGTGTGTGTGTCAGTATGTCGGTATATGTGTCTGTGTGTCAGTATGTTTGTATATGTGCCTGTGTCAGTATGTCTGTCAGTACGTCTACCAGTGTATGTGTCTGTGTGTGTGTCAATATATGTACCTGTGTCAGTGTGTCTGTCAGTGTATGTGCCTGTTTATCTGTATGTAGTCAGTGTATGTATCTGTGTATCTGCTTGTGCGTCAGAGTGTGTACCTGTGCATCTGAGCCGCAACTTTAAATACAAATACACCCCTCCATTCAAACTTCAACACTACATATAAAACACACTCCTGCATTGAAACGTCAACACTACATACAAGCACACTCCTACATTCAAAAACAAACACTACACATAAATGCACACTTGCATTCAAACTCCAGTACCACATACAAACACATTCACACAAACATACTCCATACAAACACATGCTTACATTCAAACATACTAACATGGCTCAGTGCTAAATACAACCCTGCAAGCATGGGAAATTGGTAGAGTCCCAGCTGTCAAAGCATTGTTGGAGTTGCACGACAGATGGGGTTCTACCTTTAGTCCAACCTTGCAATTGGGGGTCCCAATAAAATTCATTCTACTTTAGTACCGCCACTGCGTTGGGATGGATGCCGTGATTGCATACCAGGGAGTGAGGGGCGAGAGCGGCAGGGCACAGGGGGCCCAAGCAAACACTTGCCTAGGGTCTATTCGTTATTAAAGACGGCCCTGCTGACAGTCAATCACTCACAGGCCTGGGGTCCAGTGTGGGGCAGCTCCTCACTCCTCCTGCCTGCTCTTTAGTATGCCAGGGCCGGAATGATGTCAGCATCAGTGAGTGCAAAGGAGGAGTGAGAAGCTGCAAGAACAGCCTCCCTCGTCGCCTGGCTTCTCCTTCCCCCTCTCCTCCCGACGGTTACAGGCATTTGTTGGCAGAGCAGGCACCTGCCATCAAGTGCCTGCTCTGCCTTACCAAGCACAGCTTCGGGGCACCCTGAGGTGGCCAGATGGCGCTCCCCCCCTTTAGGATCGGCCTGGCGCTGCCGCCCAAGACAGGGGCAAGCAGCCCACCATGAAACATCCCGGTGGGCGCCCCTTTCCATATTCTGCCGTTTTGGTACTAGTCATAGTTCTACAATATCCTTGCAAAAGCACAAGCTTTTCTTTTACTGTAACTTGTCTTTCTGTGCCTTGCTGAGGAGGTTCAATCCAGCTGTTAACCCCCTCCCAAATCCCTATCCAGATGGACAATCAACAAAACTAAAACTCAGATTGTTTGCCTTCTGATTAGAATGCTCGAAGCAGCTTCTCCTCATATTTGTTTTTTTTTTCCTTTTAAAGAACACAAAGTTTAAACACAGTCTCAAACGAAGGCAAATAAGCTATAATTACTCCTGATTGGTATATTGTGAGTCCTTGCATTTAGCACTGCATGAAAGATGGAGACAATTAAATGAATAATGTCTTTGCGGGTTGAATATTCAGAAGGGATTATCATAGAACACGTGTCTTGGATCTGTTCTACAGCGTGCAAATGTCTTCTGTCATTCAAAACCTTAGATATTTAACCTTTCAGACATGCTAAGGAGCAGTAAGTGATGTTTCGGCTCTTGGCCGCAATTTATAGGGTCTCTATACAAAGGTCAGTTTTAAAGATGTTCTCAATTTCTTCTCTTTTGTGGCAGTTAGATGACCTGCAAATATAAAGAATAGTGATTTGGGAGATTATACCTCTCATAATTTCCTAGAAATAATTCACGTATGGATCCGCTCAAATCTAGTTATCTTGATGGGAAAGAGTAGGTTAGTTTGCCTTCCAACCATTAAGTTCTTGGAGCTTTCTCCAGATAACTGGCTGTTTCATTATGAATGTTCTTCTCGCATATCACGTCATGATCTCGAAACACACAGATGTCAAGCTTATTGTATGCCAGAGCATTTGTACAGTAGTAGAGTAAGATACTGACAGACAGACAGACAGCCTTGTCAACAAGTTGGTTTTTGGACTTTGTTGGCCAACATACCCACCTTGTATGGTGATAAGGTCAGATGGAAAACAGGAACCAGAGCAGGATCGAAAGACTCAAAATGGAAAATAGCAAAATAATCAGGTTCAATAAACAGCTACATATCAAGGTATAAAAGATCGTCCAAGGAGTGTATTATGTTCTTAGCCAGCACACAGATCACTCTAAGATAGACAGGAATCAAGAAGGGATTGAAGTTGGGAGCAAGTCACATCTGTAACAGGATGTAGCCATAAGGTCGACAAGAACTGGGCAGCACAGAGTCATATGGACTGCAAGCAAGCAGAGAGTAGTCTGAAAGACAACATTGTATTAGATACAATAAACTATGCTTATTACACATCAGTAATTTTTAATATAAAAAATATTTCACATCTATAAAATCCAAAAAATATTTAGAAAGGGGAATATAATTGAGTACAGTATTAACTTTCTTTAGATGTCTCAACTCATTCCATTAATTTACAAAATTGTTCGAGAAGAAGGGCGCTGGGCTATAATATAGATGGCATGACACTGGCTCGCCCCACACGTCCCCTATCCAGTGAATGAGAGGTAGAAGTACAATAAAAGGGGGACGTGCTATTATCCATCCCCACCCCCCCTCTTTAGGGTCCAGGATCCCCAAGTCTCTAGCCACCCTCCAATAAATAGTCCCTAGTTACCCACTCACACTAATAATAGTAAAGGGGGGTCCATAGTTCTAATTTACGTGAAAAGATCTATACTTACCTTCAGATTTCTCCTTTCTTCTACAATAATTGTCTTGTCTTTCTGGACTGTCGTTCTCTGTGCTGCTTACACCAGTTCCTTGGGTAGTGCCCTATGATTCCAAGTCTTCACTCTGGTTCTGCATTGGTGCTTTTGCCCTGGTCTAGAACCCAGTGGATACCCCATTGAACATTGGCGTTTTACAAATATTAATAATAATAATAGTCCCACATTGTCTTCTTACTCTATTTTTAGTTTTTTTTCATTAGCACTATTTCTCCTGTGCTTCCCTCTCCATTACATATCATGAGAGTAAATCAATGTATCAGATTAAAGATGAGGGGATCGCTTACACTGATACACTGTGTGATGAAGGCTGTAAGTAGACTTGGAAGGAAGAGATTGCCGACATCTTAACTATTTCACACTCCAAGGACCAGCAGCTGCACCAGCAAGTGTTAATCCGCAGGCCAGATTGGTTTCTGGGCAAACTGTCTGTCAAAAGGGCAGACACATTGTACACTGAACGCTGTGTTGTGATTCTTGGCAATCAAAGCGTTAAAAAGAAAAGGAGAGAAAAAAAACACACAGTTACTCATCACACCCATTATATTAGGAATAATTGAGGTAATTGCAGTGGAGTTTAAATGTAGATCATTGTGCAATTAATCTCTCCAATCTCCCGCCTACTTTAAACGCAGCAGGAGACCTGCAGTCTCATTGCTCAGAAACATGTGCCTGGCGAATGGCATTTACCCATGAGCACTCTATAGCAAGCATGTCCGATACATGGGCCTTACAGCCTGAGAACTGCAGTGGTTATGGTTATAGTTTAATGAAAATCCTTTGTATGTTTCATGGTAAAGCTCAAAGTACCATCTGCATGGGATATTCATGGGAGAACGTGTAAACACACCTCCAAAGTGTCCCTATTTAGGAAAGACAGTCCCTCTTTTCAATCCTAATGTCCCTCCTTATTAAGAAGCTCCATATTGTTGGTGTGTCTGAGTGTATAACAGAGCTCCACAGCAATAATACTCCCAGTAATGTGACTTTAACCCCTTAAGGACCAAACTTCTGTAATAAAAGGGAATCATGACATGTCACACATGTCATGTGTCCTTAAGGGGTTAAACTACAATAAATGTGTTTAGAAATCAGTTTGTGTAAATAAGACACATTGTTCTTGTTCTGAATTACATTTTAGTTTTGTAAATTATTAGTAAGTCATCTAAAATTACATGGAACAGCCCCTACCCTGTCCACACCCCTAAAATGAAAGTGTCCCTCTTTGTCCATTTAAAATGTTGGGAGGTAGTCTCAGTGTAAATAGCGCATGTCTTTGTCCTTAGTTAACACTGAGATGAGTGCATTTATACTCAGTCTCACCAAGTATCAAAGTATCACCATTCACTTGATGCCACCTGCGCAGGAATCCTGAATAATGTACGAGGTTAGACCAACGTATCATGGCAAGCTGTGTCCACTCATTATACTTACCTCAATCCCGGAACATTACTTGTTTGCTATTCTTTTCTGCTACAAGTCCATAATTCTAGGAACAAGCTGAATAAAAAATCACAATCTGCAGCTCGAGGTCAGTATGTCAGTCCCGCTGCGGAGATAACTTAGCGTACATCTGGCTACACACTGGTCAGAGACCATCGCTTTAAAACAGTATATATTAATAGAGTACCGAGTCTATTTAATTGGTCTGTGCCAGCACAGAGGCCCCGTGTTATGGATAGTGCACCAGAGCTGTAATTTAGTATAACTGCCTGAGGAAGCCGTCGGGCAATGTAACTTTCCTTCCTGCTGTCTCCTCCCTGGGGCCGAGAAAGTGTGTACCGCTAGAAGGCAGCCATTATCAGTATAGCTGATAGTATTCATTAACACTGCCCGATACAATGTACACTGCCTGTCATTAAGCTGCCCTTTAAACATTTCTCCACCTTCTGGTCCACGATGCCACACAAACGTTATCCAAGGAGTAGGAAGTACCATCATAGTCTGATGGTACTACGTGCTTTGGCAATAAAAGAACGAACACCGCGTAGCTCTCAAGACTTGATCCCTGAATGTAGATGACAAGTCGCGTTTGCTGCTGGGAATTCCAAAAGTGAGTAGATTGTCATACACAGATAAAAAGAAAAAAGCAGTACAGGTTCATTAGCAAGTACACCAATGGCTAACCTGGCACGACAGATATTTGTGCACCCAATTTCCCATGATGCACAGTCAGCCTATGTTATTCACCAGCATCTGTAGTACAAATTCCTCTTATATTGCAAATTATAGTCTTTAATCCTCACCATCACTGAGCGATCTATCTATCAGTCTTCTCTTATAGATCCAGGGGGTAGGTATACACTTACATTATTTGTGCTGTGTGGACTGCACTTCATCAATTGATTGACATTACGTGAAGATTTAGGGTTTTTTAAAAGTTACCAAACAGATTGCCTTCAAAAAGTTTCTTAGATTTATACCACACAGCTCATCCTACTCTATGGACAATGTTCCACTCACTTTATATCATGGACTCCACTTCTTAGCTGCATTACTGAGCTTACAGGCAGACTCCAGGATTGTTGGAAGCGGGGCACCACCCATGAATGAGAACTGTCAAGGACTGACCATATTCTTGGAGTATAGATGCTGATATAGGGGGCTTTTTTCTCCCATGATATTTGTGGGTTCTATTTTGTTTAGTAAATAGTGTAGATGTTTTTACACTGTGGGAGATGCCTCTCTTTTTTATTTATAATTTGCAGACATCTGCAGTGCCAATGTTAGCGATCACTGAGCTACGATTTGTCACCCTTTTCTTGTTGTGGAGTTGTGGTGTCTTTTCTGGTCAAAGTTCAAATAACTAATTGATTTTTGTTTCTTAATGGAATCTATTAAGCTAAGCCAAACTGGTGAAAGGAATGTGTTCAAAGAAATTAATTGTGGCTGAGTTTCAAATATAATCATCTCTCTGTTCTTATTTAGGGGATCATGGTCTTTCAGCAAGTGCAGAGATTGTGATGCACATCGTGGATGTCAATGATAATATACCCTTTCTTGTGGGAGACTACTCAAAAGCATTCTTCTGCAGTCATAAAGTGGACACCCAGAGGATTCTCATCAAGGCCTATGACCTCGATTCAGGACAAAATGGCGCTCCGTTCACATTTCAAGTTGTTAATGACCCTAATGTACAAGTAAAATGGAAGATAACTCCCCTGAATGGTACGTTGCTCCAACAAGTGTGTCTGTGGTTTTTAAATTCTTTATTTTCTTGAGCATGTAGAGATAGGTTACCTTTTTTTTGCATTGCCACAACAGCATTAGCAAGCCGAGTAGGAACAGTAGGTTTGACTGCAGATGGGTAGTTTTTGTGCATTTTACAGGCTTTAAGGACGGGTTTCTGCAGGAGCTTGCCTTGTGTGCCACCTCTCGGCATGGTGGTCCAGCCCCCACCCCCCTCTGTGGTTTTTAATTAAATAGTTCCACACAAGTTCCATAAAACTTTCTATTGACTAATCCTCCTAAAAACTGAGAGTAGATTGTGGAAATAAATCATCTAGACAGTATCGACTAGACAGGTATCCTCATTGGAACAAAATCAGGAAATGTCAAAATGCTGGGTAGATAATGTCCTTTTGGATAAATTCTCTAAATAATTAAATTTGGTGAGTTATCAATCTGCTCCGATTTAAAGTGGCACTGTCAACCACCTGAAAAATGAGATAGAATCTTGAAATACTCATTTTGACCGTCTTGGAATTTCACTGAAATTTCAGCCCAGTCAATAGAAATATAGAGACAAGTAGGGTCTACTATGTCTCTGTTGTTCTACTCCACCTGACTTTCTTAGATCAGGGCAGAGCTACACTGTCAATCTTGACAGCTGTCACCAGTGACGACTGCAGGGAATTGGCGCTGTCTATGGAGGATCTCATGGCAAAGACATCGGCTCCTGGCGGAAGAAGAGGGCAGCGCTCTTTAGGGACAGGATCAGGTAAGTAAATCTCACCTTTACCTTTTCCACGACCACCAGACCCCTAACGGCAATGTCACCTCTTGGGGTCTTTGCAAATTCTGCAATACCCCGGAAGGTGACTGTGCCACTTTATTCACATCATGTTTTTTTTTTTTTTTTTATCAAACTTTGCCCCAGAATTTCTTATTCAGTACAGTTATTAGTTCCCCACAACAGCAATATTTTTGTGAATAAATGCCTGGGTTTTGGACCGAAATGTCAGGTAGTTCAAGAAGCTATTAAGTAGCCGACCGTTAGCTAAGCAATGCACTATATATTATTGTTTATCATTTTAATATATTGTCATGTTACTGTGTTTTTAGTGATAATAATATTGTCTCTGTTAAAGTCCCTGTTTTAATTTTTGTAGACTCAAAAAGAAATAATGATTTTGCTGTAGATTTGAATTTAAACAAAGATTTAATAATGTGCTTGTGGATTAAAGTGTTGGACATTGAACGTTCAAACTTTGCTATCGTTCATGTACAGATCCCTAAGTAAACTAACACCTTCTGTCTCTCTTCCTAATATAGAGACTCACGCTTATTTATTGATGGTAATTAGTTACCTGGAACCAAAGGTGTATTATGTTCCGATAATCGTTAGCGACAGTGGTGAACCCACTCAAAGCCAGCGTGTGCACCTCCCAGGTAACAAAACGATTTATCTTCTAGGATACAAATAGATATGGTCATCTAGGGAAGTGTATGCATCAGATAAGGGTCAAGGTAGTTCTTAACTTGTCGGAAAGAAGTGGATGTGCAAACAGAATATCTGTATTTTCACAAGGATTTTTCATGGCCTGATAGGGGAAATTCCATTGATTTCAACATCAATCTATCAAATTATGTGCAGGTCAACCAGTTAGATTTAATAATTAATCTATGTAACACTGCAAGGTATTTACTGAATGTAGACTCATTATTCGTGATATTCGTTAAAGTGTGAATTTACAGGAATAAACAGTGAATCTAAAGTCAATTTCAAATTTCAGGCCTGAATCCCTCCTTCCAACCCCCTCTCCCCTCAAGTTTAGAAAGGGTTAAGAAACCCTTTTAACACTTACCAGCGCCGACATCATCCGACAGGTGGGGCTAAGTGTGAGGATGGCCAGCGTCAGTTAGGGACCAAAAGTCATTTAGCCCCCAGGAATTGCCTCTAGTGGTTTCTGATTGACAGCCACTAGAGGCATTCTTAGTCCTGCAATGTAATTATTGCAATTTCTCAAGTGGGACTGGAACACTGCCCCCAGACCACTTCAATGAGATGAAGTGGTCTGGTTGACTATAGTGTCCCTTTAATAAATAACTGCCAGAGATTGGGAAATAGCTGAAAGTGGAAAATTGTCTAAATGTTTGCATCTCAGATTACGCCACTGCTTACAGAATAATCACCAAACTAAGTGTCAAGCCATCAAATAGAAATTAAGACGTTCCCTGTCCATGCGCAACGTTTATATTTAAGCTCTGCTTTTCCCTGGTCTATTTTGAGTGTGTCCATGCCATGCAAGGCAGTGCACATCTGCAAGCCTCTCTCACACTTTTATCTGCAATTATTTTGTGGCGTGATATGATCAACTGGATTACCTGAGGGTTCAGCCACGTCCTGCTGTGGGGAGGGCTTAATGCAGAAGCTGCAAATGCTGCGAATTTACAGGAGATGCGAAAACTTGCAAGGTTAGTATTACTATTTGTTTTAACGCATTATTCCTATAATGGATTTCCAGCCCGACCTGTGAACTGTTTGGGAAAATGCAGCCTTTAGCTGACCATAAAATGGACAACCAGAAATTGAGCAAAGAAAAAAGTCAACTATGATCTTTAGTTGGTTCCTTTAAAAAAACAAAAAAACTAGACAAATGAAATAATAATGGGGGTAGGAAGGGGATTTCTGCATGTAAAACTATTGATGTGGCTGTAACCATTTCTTCCAGCCCTGTCCATCTGGCTGCTGCTTCTATTTTAAGCGTGTTATGAGTGATAGGGTGAGCTATGTGTGTTTATTTTTTCAGCAGAGTAATGGTGTGTGCCAGACACACACAGTATCTTGGGAGAGCTACAAAAGGCAGACGGAGACACACATGGCTAATTTTAGTTGTGACTGCTACAGGGGATTGTTGCCAAATTGCCATCATGGGCAATTGAATTGGCAGATGGATGTACCATGGTGTTTGTTAGCAATTGTGTTCTAGCATTTAACACTCTGAGCGCCAGAGGCAAGAACGCAGCTAGGCCTTGAATTCGGAAGGTTACTGTTTATATTCAGATTGCATTATTTCATCTTCTCTGAGTCAGAGATTAAACAGTTTATGCAGACGTATCATTAGGACAAACTGCTTTGTGGTAGAGTTACCACAGCAACCACATACATCACCGCATCCTCCAGAGCTACTAAGAAGCAATGCTGGGTACATAGCCAGGCCAGAGTTTCATTTTGCCCACTATGTGCTGATTATATCATTGCAGGTTAAAGATAAACACAGAGTCAGTAACAAAGCCAAGGGCAGTACCAGAAGATAACACAATAGATCAAGGAATGCGCTAAAGGGTACTTGGACAGAAACCACAATAAGGCACAATGTACAGGGCTAGGGAGGTTTAAATATCTTTAAGTTACTTGTGATTGGTCAATATCAAGCCTGCTTCCCCCAAACATGGGTTGCCGTGCCAGAATGACGCGGACCAACGAGAGTCTGAACCTACCTGGGGCTCCGAGCAGAGCTTATAATTATATGCCGCGGGCCGCACGAGCGGAGGCTCAAGAGGAGGACTCCGGCTGGCTCATGGATCTGGTAAGTACCGCTACAGCAAGTGAGCTTCTCCTTCCATAGTACCCCCTGCAGTTATGCACATTCAGTGCACCCAGATCCGCTGCATGAATGAGGCCATCAGAATTTGCATCCCATGCCAAACTGTGCCAGGACAGCTTCATAAATTAAGTGAACTGGAAAAAAAGGTCAAATAATTTAAAATAATTTTAACTGTTGTATAGGCAAAACACAACATGTTAGTTCCTCTTTGATCACAATCCCCATAACAGGTCTTTATTAATTCTATACAGCCTACATTTTATACCTTGGGCGTCTACTCACTATAAGCCAAGTGTTAATTGAAAAAAACCCAAAGCCTCTTAGAAGAAAAGGACTTCATTATTTCCCACAATTCCCTAGTGAACAACACATTCTACTCTGGTTTTATTATTTTAAAATCAAAGAGGATAAACTTGTAATAACTCCTTGGTTTTTTTCACACCCCCTGCATTATAATCCTCCTTGAATACAGCTGATTTCAAATGGAACCATTTTAATTTTCGATTTGGAATCGGTAAAATTGTATTCAGGCAGCTTTGCTTCTGTCCAATTATGTCTTAAACCTTTTCTGCAAACCAAGACTCCTGCAGATCCAAATGCAGACAGTTTAGATTAAGCTAAGATTTGGATGTGTGTTGCCATTTATTGTGAACAAAGATACAATTTATTTCTTATGTAAAGTGTTAAAATGTTTTGTCAAATAATATTTATTGAGATTAACAAATATATGCTGCAAACTGTTCTTTAGTTACTAATTATTTCTCAAAAACTAGATACACAGTACAATAAAATACACCTTGGCAGAGTTTTATGAAAATGTTGCTTAAAGAAATGCGAAGGGGTGCGGGGCTTGATTGGCGTGATGAGCGGTTGCACTTTGGTTGAGCCCCAGGAGGCCTGTTGAATCTTAACCCTTTTTGATGACTTTCTGATCTCTTAACTTAATCCTGATAACTCTGCTGACATCCTGCAATCCTGTGGTCCTACACTCTGCACTTGTCTGTGAGAGCTCTGCTCCATTTTGTCAGCTTTCTGCTGTGGCAATCCTGCGGCCTACTTGGCGACATGGACATGAGGCAGGTGGCCGACCTCTCTGTCCTCCATATATTAGATGGTGGAATCCTCAATGGAATATCCCATTTCCCTCCCTTGCAAGTGAGGGTTTACTGGCATTTCCAGCTACCAACCCTCAACTAGGACTTACCTGAGTGCACACAGAGAGGGCGTCTTATATGTGCCCAACATGTAGGCTGGGCACGAGTCCATAAATTCCATGGCTCATGGGAGGCCTGCACAGCTTCAGCAAGATTCCCTGGTGGCATTTGACCGCTTATGTGCTGTTATCTGAGATTGACTGTAACTCTGCAGAGGTTCAGGTGTCCATGAGCACCCCAGATTGAGGCGAGTATCTCAAATAGCAACTGGGAGGAAGACTGATACTCAAATTGTGCTGGATAAACCTGCGGGTCCTTTGGTTTGCTGGTCCAAGTTGGGGCCACGTCTCTTTCCTCTCACATGTCCAGGGTTCAGGGAGATCCAACCTGGATCATTATAAGAAAACTTAGTGTCACAAAAGTGTCCAGGTGCTGTCTTACCTTTTCACTTCCTTCTTACCATTTTTCCAATAATTTAAACCTGAAGTTGATCCTAAGGCACCTGACACCTGGCACAGCTGCCTCCAGCTTCCTTCCTGAAGACAAATTAATGGCTTTTTCCAATATGAGCCAAAAGTCGGTTATCAGTCCATGCAACTCACTGTTTAGTGAATAATGCCCCTAGTATTGACATTTGCTTAACTATTTCAGTCCAGAGTGCAGACAAATAGCTGTTTTATCTCCCCTGACTGGTTCCATTAATATTTTTGTTGATTTTCTATTTACAGTACATTGTAAGTGGTTTTCCCACAATGCCCCCTGTGGAGAAGCCCTAAAGCTCTATTCTCGGTCATCTGTCTTCATTTAAACATCTATTTGAGAAGGAATAAAAGTCTTTGCTCTAACCACTCGATTGCCAGGGTTTAATGTGTAGCTAACCTCATTTTCAGAGAAAGAGTTAAGGCTCGTTCTAGAATTTGGCAGTGTTACAGAAAGCGTAGGGATGTCAGCCTATTTTTGGCCAGAGTGGATTCTGTCAGGGTGCCATTGTTTATTGGCTATTTCTTTGGGGCTATAAATTCAGGTTACTAAAATACAAGTTTAAAATATAGTGAACTTCATTTTATTATAGAGGGACTGTATGTGTGCGTGCATGTTTGTCTACGTGTGTATATATACATATTAAATATAAATATATACGCTGTAATAGTTTGATATATATATGATATACACACACACACACATAACATTTCTTTACAATCCTTCTATATTTAATGTTGTTGTTAATCTTTAAATCATATCCAGCCAGGAGTGCTATGTGATGTTCAGATTGGTCCTTGCTGTAAGTTGTTGTATAACAGAATTAATATACACTTCTCAGAGAAGGAAGATGCAGACAATTTTTTTCTTTCTAAATGTATTCTGTTTTATTATAATTGCGGCGGTAAAGTAATTGATGATTACTAGATTAAAAAAAATAAGACCTTATTCTATATTAAAGGACCACTCTAGGCACCCAGACCACTTCAGCTTAATGAAGTGGTCTGGGTGCCAGGTCCAGCTAGGGTTAACCCATTTTTTCATAAACATAGCAGTTTCAGAGAAACTGCTATGTTTATGAATGGGTTAAGCCTTCCCCCTAATCCTCTAGTGGCTGTCTCATTGACAGCCACTAGAGGCGCTTGCGTGCTTCTCACTGTGATTTTCACAGTGAGAGCATGCAAGCGTCCATAGGAAAGCATTATGAATGCTTTCCTATGTGACCGGCTGAATGCGCGCGCAGCTTTTGCCGCACGTGCGCATTCAGCCCAGGAGGAGGAACGGAGGAGGATTGGAGGAGGAGAGCTCCCCGCCCAGCGCTGGAAAAAGGTAAGTTTAAACCCCTTTTCCCCTTCCAGAGCCGGGCGGGAGGGGGCCCCTGAGGGTGGGGGCACCCTCAGGGCACTATAGTGCCAGGAAAACGAGTATGTTTTCCTGGCACTATAGTGGTCCTTTAAAGCAACAATGTCAGGCATAATTCCCTAACTTCCATTAAATCTTCTTTTATTTATGTCTCTCGTTACTGGCTTCTTTTCTACTTTTCTCATCTGTTTCTCCTAAAATACATAAGACAAAGCAGGGACTACTTTGCCTAATGTATGTTTACTAGGCCTGACAAAACTCAACAAAAGGCTGAGTAATGTTTTGTTATGTCCCCCAGCCGTCACTAGTGATGGCTGTGGGGGAAAAAAGACAATGTCCACTGAGGCTCCGGCTGTCTCGTGGGATCCTCCATAAAACCTCAGTGCTGTACTCCTGTGCATGCGCAAGATCACAGTACTGACGTGGCTCCCGGAAGAAGAAATTTCAAGAGTTGAAGAGGATCTACTGGATGCTGATGTTGGCGGCTGGAAGAGCCAGCTTCAGGTAAGTAGAACTGTGCCATCAGTGGGGAAACAAAAATAAGGTATGCTAGAAAGTGGATAGTGAAACAGTTTGCTAATTCATAAAAGCGCAGTATAAGTGGAACATGTGCTGCAGTTCAAAGAGCTGTCTTTGGGTTTTACCCTTATACAGTGAATTGTAGTGAATTGAAAGCCAAACAGAGAAATTGAGAATAAAATAGCCAAGCTGTGATCATAGCCGAGTTGGTCGACGTTTCTAAATCGACTATTTTGGCTTTCAGTATGCTACAGTTTGGTGTTTAGGGAATAAACCCTTGAATGGAGTGGCTCTCCATTCATCACCTGTGAATTTTCGTGAAACTACATTAAAATCCTGCCATAGGAAGCGTTTTTGTGCTTTTACCGGGTTATTCGATAGAGTGAGAATTTGCAGGAATTCAAAGGGTATTTCAAATTTAAGGTCAATAACTGACCTGGAAACATTGGTAACTTGGAGAATTGATGCAGTTTGGTTATTGGGGCCATAAATGGGAAATACAATTTGAATTCCAGACAATTCTCAGTTTGTAGTTCAGTTTCCAAACCAATGAGAGCCCTAGTGAAAAGCCCTTCGGTTTGATATGGTTAATTGAACTGATAGCATTAATCATATGCGACCTATAGGATCCATTATTGCTAATTCTCCACCTTTTGACCCCTCAGTCAGCGTGTGCCAATGCGGCTCCAGTAACCAATGCATTGGGGAAGTGAACAAGATGGAAAATATGCCAACGGTTTCAACGGCTATGGGCACTCTTTTTGGGACTTTGGGAGCCATAGGTATGTACTAAAATAAGTGAAGAATTAAGGCAACCTGTATATTCTGCTTAAAGATATATATTTTTTGAGATTTGAGATGTCACCCATGTAACCAGGCAGCTGCCATCAGAAATGTGGGTAACCCTTGCAAGGCTCAAGTATTGGACCCCAGGACCCGCCCTGAAGTCTACCCACAAAGCTCACAGAGAGTGAAGTGTATGTGTGTTGGGGATGTGTTGTGTGCTGTTGTAGAGGATGTAATGTGTGTGTTTATGGAATGTAGTGTATAGGGAAATCAGTTTCTGTAGGAGATGTATTGTATGTATAGGGGATGCAATGTGTGTGTATAGGGAATCCAGCTCATGTAGCGGATTTAGTGTATTTATAGGGAATACAGTTTGTGTAGGGGATGTTGTGTGTGTGTGTGTGTGTATATAGGGCATGCAATGTGTGTGTATAGGTAATCCAGATCATGTAGCTGATTTGGTGTGTATATAGGGAATACAGTTTGTGTAGGGGATGTTGTCTGTGTGTGTGTGTATTTAGGGGATGCAATGTGTGTGTATATGGAATGCACTGTGTTTCTGTGTAAAGCAGGAAGCGTGTGTATATAGTGAATGTAATATGTGTATAGTGGATACATTGTGTATGTTTTGTGGATGCTGTGTATTTGTGTGTAAGGGATACATGCTGTCGTTGTGTAAGGGATGCATTGTGTGTTTCTGTGTGTGTGTGTATGTTTACTATATATGGAATGTTTACACATCTGGACATTGTTTTAGTCAAAGATCGCATGGTTCACGTATAGTATCCATTTAAGGTGTGAAAGTATTGTGATCTTATCTGCTTTATATTAACCCCTTAAGGACCGAGGACAGTTCAGGACCGTCATCTGCATTTTCCCATTGCCACGTCCTAACGGTCCTAGTTACTTACCTGATCAGCGTTGCTCCCATTGTGGGGAGACTGCCTGCAGCCCAGACAGTCTCCCCATGGCGGATTAGGACCCCTGTGGCCATGTGATCGCTCAACACAGCGATCACATGGTCACAATAGGTGTCCATGTGTCTGCCTGCAGGGGGACTGCCTGTGCTGACAGGCAATCTCCCTGCATGTGTAAAAATCAAAAAATAAAAATAAAGTTAAAGTAAATAAAAAAAAAAATATATATATATATATATGTGTGTATATATATATATATATATATATATATATATATATGATATATAGACATATGAAATGTTATTCTAACTGTATTTTGATATATATATATATTACATAAATAATTATATAAATATACAGGTAGACTTCAAATATATAAATATGCATATATATTTAAATTCTACGTGCGTATTTATGTAATATTTTTACATAATTAAGTAATTTTATTAATTGCAACTTGAGGGACCTGCCTGCCAACCCAGGCCGAAAGTCCAGAGAATTTAATTTGCTAGCACTGTATTTTACCTTGTAACTTTCTAGGACACCCTAAAACCTGTACATGGGGGGTTCCGTTTTACTTGGGAGACTTCGCTGAACACAAATATTAGTGATTCAAAACAGTAAGACATATCACAGCGATGATATTGTCAGTGAAAGTGACTTTTTCACATTTTTCACACACAAACAGCACTTTTACTGATGATATAATTGTTGTGATACGTTTTCCTGTTTTGAAACACTAATATTTGTGTTCAGCAAAGTCTCCCGGGTATAACAGTACCCCCCATGTACTGATTTTATAGCGTTTTTGAAAGTTACAGGGTCAAATATATGGGTCAAATATTTTTACATTGAAAATGGCCAGGTTGGTTACATTGACTTTGAGAGCGTATGGTAGCCCAGGAATGAGAATTACCCCCATGATGGCATACCATTTGCAAAAGAAGAAAACCCAAGGTATTGCAAATGGGGTATGTCCAGTCTTTTTTAGTTGCCACTTAGTCACAAACTCTGGCCAAAATTAGCGTTCAATTTAGCTTTTTACTTTTTTCACACACATACAAATATGAATGCTAACTTTGGCCAGTGTTTTCGACTAGGTGGCTACTAAAAAAAACTGGACGTATCCCAGGGCCGGTGCAAGGACTTCTGTCTACACAGGCGAAGACACATTTTGCTGCCCCCAAAATGTATCTTCACCTGTCTGTCTAATATTCCCACTTTTGCCCCTCTTACCAATTATTTTGCCCCTTTGCATCTTACCACCTTTTTCTCTTGTTTTCCTTTTTTGTATATTGTATCCTGTCTGGCATTATTTTTTACGTGCTTTGTGTCTTCATCCTACTTTTCTTTACCCCCTTGCGTCACACACTCACTCGCTCATACACACACACACACTGACCATAACACACACACACTGACCATTACACACACACACACTGCTAATACACACACACTGGCTCTAACGCACACAGTCTCTTACACACTTGGACGGCTTATACACACTCACCGGCTCTAACAGACACACACAAACAGTCTCTTACACACACTGCTTATACACACTCACTAGCTGTAACACACACACAGTCTCTCACACACACACACTGCTTTACACTCACACAGTCTCTTACACACACACAGTTTATAGACACACACACACACTAACTCTTACACACACACTACACACACACTGGCTATAACACGCACACACACACACTAGCTCTTACATACACACACTGGCTCTAACACACCCACATTAACACACACACACACACACACACACACTAACTCTTACATTCACACACTGGCTCTAACACACACACACACACACACTAACTCTTACATTCACACACTGGCTCTAACACACACACATTAACACACACACTAACTCTTACATACACACACTGGCTCTAACACACACACATTAACACACACACACACACACATACACTGGCTCTAACACACACACTAACTCTTACACACACACACACACACACACACACTAACTCTTACATACACACACTGGCTCTAACACACACACATTAACACACACACAAACTCTTACACACACACACACTGGCTCTAACACGCACACACACTAACTCTTACATACACACACTGGCTCTAACACACACACTAACTCTTACATACACACACTGGCTCTAACACACACACTAACTCTTACACACACACACACACACACACACTAACTCTAACACACACACACACTAACTCTTACACATACACACACACTAACTCTTACACACACACTAACTCACACACATTAACACACACACACACACATACACTGGCTCTAACACACACACTAACTCTTACACACACACTTACTGTTTCTTATAGTTGAGGTCCCGCTGCACTGTTGTAGCTTTCCTCCACAGCAGTTGGCCGCCGGGATATGATGTCACGTATCCCAGCGGCCTGTAGCTCAGGAAGAGAGTTGCCGCGGTCGCTCCTCGCTGTTCCGCCCACTTCCCTCAGTGGGTGCACGTTTCTCAGCCAGTTGGGCAGATAGCTGCAGAAATTGACCGGCGGGAGCGGAGTTCTCCGTGCTCCCGCCAGTCACTCGGACAATTTTTGCGCCCCTTGGGTCCGTGCGCCCTAAGGCGGCCGCTTGTGCCGCCTTATGGTAGCGCCGGCCCTGACGTATCCCATATTGAATACCCTGGGTTGTCTACTTTAAAACAAATATGTACATGTGGGGTGTTATTCAGAGATTTATGACAGATAATAGTGTTACAATGTCACTATTGATACATTTGAAAAAATTTATGTTTTGGAACCGCAATATCCTACTTCTACCTATAGCCCTATAACTTGCAAAAAAAAGCAAAAAAGCACGTAAACACTGGATATTTTAAAACTCAGGACAAAATTTTGAATCTATTTAGCAGTTTTTTTTATTCGCTTTTGTAGATGAGCAAAAGATTTTTCAAGTAAAAGTAAAAAAACAGGGATTTTTTTCAATTTTTCATCATATCTTTTTATTTTTTTTATTAAATTACATGAGATTATATAAATAATGGTATGTAAAGAAAGTCTTTTTTGTCCTGAAAAAAACAATATATAATTTGTATGGGAACAGTAAATGAGAGAGCAGAAAATTACAGCTAAACACAAACACCACAAAAGTGTAAAAAGAGGCCTGGTCGCAAATGTAAAACATTGCAAAAACAGTCCAGTCCTTAAGGGGTTAAATAAACTATTCCTTTGTTAAATCCTAGATGTAGTGCTTGAAGAAACCACTCTCCAGCTCCTACAAATTAAAATTTGTCAAATGTATTTATTTCAGTTCTCATCCTGATCATAATCTTCCTACGGCTGTCTCTCTTTGCCTCTCCCAAGAATTTAGCGACATCGGACTCAATTCCTTTAAAGAACGCTGTATGAAAATATCCACTCAGCTCATCGAAAACATACTAATTTACTGCATATATCTCCCATTTTCCACTGCAACAACTTGTACTTCCATTCCTGATTTACAAATGAACTGAACAGTATTCTCTCTTTACCCTTCCATATGGTGTGGGGTCTAGTCCCTAGACAACTCAGATCTATGAAATGTAATTTGTTGATTATTTTCTGAATGTTGATTACAAAACTGGCCCATTTCATTTCTCTCTTTCTCTTCTTAATATCCACATCTACACAATGTGTATTAACCCCTTAAGGACACATGACATGTGTGACATGTCATGATTCCTTTTTATTCCAGAAGTTTGGTCCTTAAGGGGTTAAAGTAAATTCAATTTCAAACATCTAAAATCAAAACTGGGGAAATGTCATAGATATTACAGACCTAAAATTTTCATGATGTATTCACAGCCTCGTGGGAGTTGTAGTTTATAACGACTGGAAGCCTACCTGTTGGAGATCTCTTTTATAGAGGGCAATATTGTGTCATTTATTAGTTATGGTCTTTGAAATTTGCTCGAGGGAAACATTTAATAATCTCCCCCAGGAATAAGTAGGTTTTTATAGAAATGTTGAGCTATTTTTTCTTCTTTGCTTAGAAAACTGGAGCAAGCAATGAGCTATGGGAAACCCCATCAGTAGCCCTGCGGCAATCCATCTCGTCAAATAAACCACCGCAGTTAACAGATTTTCCAATCCACGTTCACGCTAGTTTTCCATCTGTTCCATTTTTGACAGTGTTTTGCTTTGTAGAAATATTTTTCCGTAGTTTATTCTGTGTAGAAAGTGCTTGTTTATACCTCGCCACCCAGTTAGCTACTTGATAAGTGAATCACTTGCACAATATTTCACATGAGGCAACATTGGGAAGTGATTTACAAGGGTTTTTTGAGAAGTTGTGTAAAAAATTGTTCACGAATATAAAAAAAATACCCCAGTTAAACTGTCTGTATCTTCTTTCTCCTCGGATTGGGGATGATATAATTATCTCTACTTCTGATATAACGTAGTGGATGGGGCACCATCTGTAGAATTTTAAAGTCAAACGTTTGACGAGTTTATCTGGATCAAGAGTTGCCAGAAGGTGGATCTCCAGCCAGGGCAGCCATCAGAAATTGTGGGGCCCCTAATTTTTTTTAAAGGGGGCCCGGTCACGCAATTACACGCCCGCAGCACTGACCGGGCCCCTGAAGATATAGGGCTCATCAGGTGGCCCTAAATGCTTAGGCCACCTAATGGGCCCCGGTGCAGATGCACCTGCGGCAGTTTCGCCGCTCCATGTGGGGCCCGGACGGCCAGGCCCCCCAGGGCCACCGGGCCCGTGACAACCGTCATGGTTGTCACCCCCTGATGGCGGCCCTGCCTCCAGCACTTGTAAAACTACAAACCTGCAGGATGCTTTGCCTTCGGGGCGCAGCTCTACAACAACTGAAAGTCAACCAATTATTCATTCCCAATCTAGATCCTGCACTGTCCCTTTAGGAAGGGAATTAACAAAATGGCTGCTGCCTTGTGTAAAGTTTGATTTAAAACCATTCGTGCTCTTAGTTCTTTGTTTTTGTGGGGAGTTATGGGAATATATGAAACTAGGGAATGTGGGAGACGATGCTAATGAAGTAAACAAGCGGGACACAAAAAGTGTATACATAAAATCCATTAGTGATGCAAAAAACAAAGGTAACCACATGGAATAGAAACATACTCAGATTTTAAATCCTCGCATTTGTTGTAAACACTCAGCATTTGCATTTTCTAAATTGTATTTTTTTTATCTAATCAGGAAGTGGCCCGGCCAATCCATGAGCATGTCACATAGTGCCACATGAAGTGCATACAGGAGGGGATTAAAAAGGGGGAAGCAAACTATGATTACAAAATGGAAAAATATGTAGCATAACAACTGGAATCTAAGGCCATAGTGAACCAAACATGCGAGTGTCTCAAATTTCTCTTTAAAACTTACAATAATAATAATAATAATAGCTCTGTGTTGGGACTAAAGACATATTTATGTTAAAGGATCAAATAAGGACTTGGTCAAGCTTCCCATCAATACATATATTGTACTTTTTATTTAGTGAGCCTCAGTCTGGAAGTTCCCTCCACAATGTGATGGATAAATGAAAATAGACGTGAAATGGTGCACTCGAAAGGAAGAAGCCTTGGACATGTCCATCCAGAAACAAGAAATGACTGTTAGATTGTTTAAACACAAACATTAACACAAGATAAGGTCATTGCAGAGAGCCCGTCTTTTGCCATTTACTCTATTTTTAATCTGCTTTGTATAAAGTGAAGTTTTGAAATAATGACAGTTTTTCCAAAAATAGGTTTTTTTGTTACCTCGGTATATTTTAAGAGTTGATTTAAGCAGATGGCAGGTCATACATACAAACAGTGATCCAAGATCAACAATCCGAAACATCAAATACAGTTTTAGATATCCATATCAACAAAACGGGGAGGAAAAGAGAGAAAACACGAGAAGGGGGGGAGTGGAAAGGGCGATAGAGAACCCCGGGTCCGGTAAATGTTCACAACCAGAAAGCAAATGTAACTAAATAGACATTAGAAATCCAGTTGATTAGGGACAAGCAAGCTACAAGACTCATATCTCACGGTAGAAACGAGTTTATGAAGTACTGCACACCAGGACATGGTATCAATGTTTCTTCAGGTCTTAGCCAAGGCCCTGAATGCTACTAGCTTAATTTAATTATCACTCATAGAGCATATCAAATTCCAGAACCTGATCACCTTTAGAAAGCCCCACCACTTATGGAAAAGGTGCCTCTATTTCTGCAACCTCTCCAACAATTATCTGAAACCATTGCTCCCATATGGGTCAATCGTACTGGAGTCATGCACCACCTAACAAGCATCTTGTATCCGTGTTCCTTCCCCATCCCCATCCCCATCCAAAGACTTGCCTATGTCCATCTCCTAAAAGGACACTTAAGGCAACGGAGTCCCACTTGCCTTAGGGGTGCTTGTCATGGGTTCCAGGGTCTCTTACTGTCCCTTGGTCGCTGCTTCTCTAATACTCTTCTGCTCCTTGATTCAGCTACAGCAAACAGTGATTCTAGCCCTCTGGAACTTTGTAAAATTCTCCAATATAGTGGACAAGACTGGGTAAAACAAGAAAACTGTTTTTTTCAGAGAAAAAGAAATGCATTTATCCCCCTACACACAGCAGGGGGTCTTCAGCCAGCACAATGCAAATTACTCCTTGGTGTCTTGGCATTTGGGACATAATTGGGTCAAGACATGATAACTTAATTTCCTGCTGGACACCAAGACACATAGCGCAATATCTATTACATAATACAATTAACACAATAGCTTTCATCCAGCTCAACATTTTACATAATAACTCAACATTAACACAATGTACCCCCATATCCTATATATATTTAAAATCTGTGACCAGGCCCATAGTCTGTAGGCAGGAGGCTAGCTGTTATGCCTCTCCAGCAGGCTGTGGCTCGGGAGCTTCTGTGACAGTGCTCATAGAGTCGAGTTATGAGGTTACCTTGTATCTCATTCCATCACAAATGTCCTCTTTATGATAAACAGTATATTGCTTGGAATCTATGTTTCATTCTGACAGCTTGCTCATCAAGGTGGTCAAACAGAACATGATGTGCCACTTCTGAGGAAACAAAACTTGGACAGCTGGCCAAGGAGACAGTAACATTGAATTAGGGACTGTGGCATATTATGACATATTTACTTAAGTAGTCATGGGAACAATAATATCAAATGAGTCTCCTTTAAACGGAACTTTAAAGTGATACATTCTCAAACATTTCAGCTTCTAAGTCAATGACGGCCTATCAGGGACTTCCTGTAGCTTTAAACTTAGTTTGCACTCTGTCTTATACAACTGTTTTTATTACCTACATTTATAGATGAAAGGCAAAGCTTTGCTCAAATGGAAATATTATTTATTAGAGTCCTGGTCCAACTAAACATACATGGTGGAAAAATGTGATCTAACAACCTTATTGTAGTGGAAAATCTCAAATCTTTTTCATAATAGATGCCAAAAATACATTGAACACACGCTGAGCGCCAATAAAGTTGTTTGATTTAAAACAGCCATTTCTAAAATGGGAATTGTGGAGAAATGAAACGGGAATTGCAAATAGTAGTCAATTCAAAACAAGTAATTTTTAATCCACAGCATAGTTTTTTGTTAAGAAAAGTTTAATTTAAGGATTTCTCCTTAGTATTCAGCCAGCTGCAGGAAGATTTTATTGCTCCATAATCTATCATCTCTAATTAAAAAAAAACACAGAGCGGCTGAGTGACAAAGCGAGTCAAACTTTAATTATGGTCTGTGCAAATCAGATCCCGGCGTGACACCCACTCCCTGTCTAGTTGTACAGTCATTTGCGCCCCAGCACAGAATGTCACTAATGTACCCAGGAACAGTCATTCAAAGGAGGAAAATAATAAAATGGTTTTATTAAATATGATAAAAGAAGAACAGAGAATTGTAATCTGCGCACTGAATAGCCTGTGATTTTTATTCACTAAACACTGAATTGGAGAGAGCTGAAAAACAAATAGCCAAATATGGGCAAAAATAGCTGTTTTGGGAAAAAAAACTTGGCGATGTTAGATTTAATATTGCAATGCAGTTTTCTGGTCATAAAAATTCAGTTTTTAGTTAAAGGTCCACTATAGTCACCTAGACCACTTTAGCTCAATTAAGTGGTCTGGGTGCCAGGTCCCCCAGGTTTTAACCCTTCACATGTAAACATAGCATTTTTTTCAGAAAAACTGCCATGTTTATATTGCAGGGTTAAAGGAACACTCTAGGCACCCAGACCACTTCAGCTTAATGAAGTGGTCTGGGTGCCAGGTCCTTCTAGGGTTAACCCATTTTTTATAAACATAGCAGTTTCAGAGAAACTGCTATGTTTATGAATGGGTTAAGCCTTCCCCCTAATCCTCTAGTGGCTGTCTCTTGCCGCGCGTGCACATTCAGCCGACGGGGAGGAGAAGAGCTCCCTGCTCAGCGCTGGAAAAAGGTAAGTTTTAACCCCTTTCCCCTTTCCAGAGCCGGGCGGGAGGGGGTCCCTGAGGGTGGGGGCACCCTCAGGGCACTATAGTGCCAGGAAAACGAGTATATTTTCCTGGCACTATAGTGGTCCTTTAACCCCTTAAGGACCAAACATCTGGAATAAAAGGGAATCATGACATGTCACACATGTCATGTGTCCTTAAGGGGTTAATCCAGCCTCTAGTGGCTGTCTTCCTGACAGCCGCTAGAGGTGCTTCGGCGACGCTCAATGCGAAAATCGCATTGAGCACTCAGAACATCCATAGGAAAGCATTGAGTAATGCTTTCCTGTGGGTGGTTTGAATGCACGCGGCTCGGGTTTTTAACCCCTTCAGCCCAGCAGTAGGGGGCCCTGAGGGTGGGGGGACCTACGGACTATATAGTGCCAGGAAAACAAGTTTGATTTCCTGGCACTATAGTGGTCCTTTAATAAACCCTACAGGTTTAAAGAAAGTAACTTTTGTGAGTAGGAAACCCAACTGCCTAAAATAGCCAATCTGGCATAGAGGCTGATTTGGCAAATGTTTTAATCTCAGGTATTTTCACCTAAATCTCAGGTGTTTTCACCTAAACTATGCAATTCAGCAGCGGCAGAGCTACCACTGGTACAGCTGCACTGGAGTCCGCACACAGAAGGGGCCCATGAACTTAGGGTCACCCGATGACAATGTTAATGGTGTGCTATGGCCCTCTAACATCATGACAAGGCCCTTTTTTTTTTATTGTGCAAGCTCGTTATTATATACAAACTCGTGGTACCCCAACAGCAGTCCTCAAGCGCATTGTCATTTCTAACAATATGAGCATTAGAAAAAGAGGTACATTTTAAGTATATATGTAGAATCACAGATGCATGTACATCTTGGTGATAAGTGTTACAGGCTATATATAATCTGCATGAGAGTAAGGTCGCTTAAAGCGGCACTGTCATGACGAACTTACCTTTCTCCAATCGATTCCTCTTACCTTTCTATTCCTCGAACTTACCTTTCCCCCCCATTTTCATTTAGGGCCCTCATCCGCCACTCAGGAGGGGGGATACAAGTTTTTTTTTTGCTTTTTTTTTTTTTAACATTGAGCAGCACTGTTGAGTAGACATGCCCCTACTCGCAGTATAGCGAGTAGGGGCAGATTATTTACTAATACTACATAATCGTTATTTAGTATTAGTAAATTTGGCTGAAAGACCAATTTAGGTCTTTCAGCCTTTTGGTAGATAGCTCCCTGATACCGTGGGAATTAGGGAGTTATCTACCAAGCGGCTGCAAGATGCAGCCACAGTACGAATAGGATTGGAGTTTCATTCATTCAAATGAAATTCTGAAATGAACAAAGTCCCGAATTGTGTCCTAATGCGAATGTAGAAACTATTCTCATTCTTTTAGAATGCAATTTGGTAGTTTCGCCAGTGTTCAATCTAAAATGACAGGATGTTCGTGAAAAGTGAAAGGATGCTTCACGGGAACATGGAGGAAAGGTGAGATATGTGGGAAAATTGCTCTGACCACCAGAAATGAAGCACACTTTGCTCCTGTGGTGGCGTGTGTCTGCCCAGTGCTGTGTCATGTCGGTCGGGTTTAGCATAAAACTAGTGGGAATGCAGGATTTTCAGTTGAGTAAGAACATGTGTGGGCATGTGTGTGCTGGCTGTTTTGTCTGAGAGTGCGGGGGCAGTCCATCGCATCAGGCTGAGGTGCTTAGTCCCGAGTTAGTCGATGTCCCAGCTTGGTGATAGGCTTAGGGGGTAGCAAGAGTTCAGGAGGCAGTTCGAGTAAGTTCTCCCCAAAGCCCCGGGCCGTCGTGAAGGCCTGCATCTGCGTGTGAGCTTGGATACTCTTGTCTTTAATGCGGGGCAAACGGGGCAGTTGCACCGGGCCCAGTTGCTCCTAGGGGGCCCCAGAGTCTGTGTCAGTATGTCTGTCTGTGTGTATGTCAGTGTGTGTGAGTGTGTGTCAGTATGTCTGTCTGTGTGTCTGTCTGTGTGTGTGTCAGTATGTCTGTCTGTGTGTCAGTGTGTGTATATCAGTATGCCTGTGTGTGTCAGCATGTCTGTGTGTGTGTCAATACGTCTGTCAGTGTATGTGTGTGTGTGTCAGTATTTCTGTCAGTGTATGTGTCTGTGTGTGTGTCAGTATATCTGTCAGTGTATGTGTCGGTGTCAGTATGTCTGTGTGTGTCAGTATGTCTGTCTGTGTGTATATCAGTATGCCTGTGTGTGTCAGCATGTCAGTGTATGTGTCTGCATGTGTGTCAGTATTTCTGTCAGTGTCTGTGTGTACGTCAGTATATCTGTCAGTGTATGTGTCTGTGTGTGTATGTATGTGTGTCTGTGTGTGTGTCAGTATGTCTGAATGTGTGTCAATATGTCTGCCAGTATATATTTGTGTGTCAGTGTATGTGTGTGTCAGTATGTATCTGTGAATGTTTTAATATGTCTGGATGTAGTCGAGTTTTGCAGGCAGGTTCTGCCGTTTGGGCATACTAGTGCTCTGTGTTGTCTCGTCATGTGACTACTCAAGAGGCTGTAGGGTATCAGCCATGTTGGGGTGAGCCGTCCGGTCTGTATTCCTCTGCATTTCTGATGCTTGTGGTCGCCCGTGGGGACCGGGGTAAACCCCACCAGTCCAGAGGGGGGGCAGCAAGACGCCAGTCGGAGAACTGGGGGAGAGGCCGTCTTGCCCAGCTCAAGCTCGTGTAGGCCTCAGGCTCGATCGGGTTACTCCGATGCCGTGCTGGGTCATAAGCGGTATCTCTGTGTGCACCTTCGGCTGGTGGGTTGTGCGGTCACCAATTTGGTTCAGTGTCTGCTTGTGGCATGAAGTTAGCTCCAGTTTTCTAGACCAGATGTAGGAGTTCAGACGAAACACGCCTGATCCGTTCAGCGGTCAGGCTCCTCCCCCC